ATGAGATGGTGTGAAGTACAAAATAAAAATCTTCTGCTATATCATAGGGAATGCATCATTTTTTGTTTTAATTGATAGTGCTGAAATTGCCTTTCCAAATGGCTATGCAGGTTTATGTTTTCACTGGCAATATCTGTTTCCTAATTTTTCATTAGCATTTCATACTGTCAAATTTTTTAACTTTTGCAATCCTGATTGTTGAAAATTGTATCCAGTTTTGTATTTCCCTTGCTACAGATAAGATTGAACATTATTTCATGTTTATTGGCTATTTGCATCTCTCTTCTCTATTCATATTTTTTTTCATTTTTTTCTTGTTGAGTTGTTTATCTTATTGATTTTAGGAACAGTTTATATAGTCCAGATACTAATTCTCTGTTACATATATTGCAAATATTTTGTCCTAGTCTCCTTTCTTTTACCTTTGTTTTTGCTTGCTTTTGTACTCAACAATAATGAATAGTGGTCCTTTTTCCATTTCAGTCCAGTCAGTATATTTTTTGAGACAGGGTCTTTTTCCATCACCCAGGTTAGAATGCAGTGGCCTCATCATAGTTCACTGTCACCTCAAACTCCTGGGCTCAAGCAATTCTCTTATCTGAGCCTCCTAAGTAGCTGGGACTAGAGGCATGCATCACCATGCCTGGCTAATGTTTCTATTTTTTGTAGAGGGGGGGGTCTCACTCTTGTTTAGGCTGTTTTCGAACTCCTGGCTTCAAGCAATCCTCCTGCCTCGGCCTCCCAAAGTGCTAGGATTACAGGTGTGAGCCACTGTACCCAGCCAGTCAGTATTTTTGATGTTGATATATACCATGTGCAGCCCAAGATAGTTTTCTAAAATGATTTTTTTTTAAGAGACAGAATCTTGCTCTGTTGCCCAAGCTGGAGTGTTCAAGCCTGGGCTTGGAACTCCTTGGGCTCAGGCAATCCTCCTGCCTCTTCAAATGCTCTTTTGAACATCATCTGTCAACATACCAGGAAAACAGTCATCACCATTTACTGTATCAGTCCAATGGACCCTTTTTATTTTTTATATTTTTGAGTTATTTTATAAATTACTTACAAAAATAAAAAAATAGTGAAAAACAATTTCCTCAAACTTAAGAATTGGTGAGTGAACCATATATTTCTAAGGATAAAAAGGAAATAAAGTATTCTTGACCAGATCATCATTCAATAGAAAGACTTCATCATCGTAATAATAATTTAAATGTAGCAATCTCAATTTTTTATTCCATATCTTCAGATTTTGAATGTGTATAAATACCTGAAATGCAACTAACTACTCACTAGCTGTCATGCATGAATCTGGAATATATCATCTTGAAAATACTGATTCCAGATTTCAGATATATCTCCCAATAAATTCTAGCTTGCGATTACTTCTGGTTCTTCTTGCACTTGTGTCATCAAAATGTAATACTTGAATAATTTTTTGAAATATTTGATGACTCATAATTTTGTGGAAGAGAGGACAGCTATCTCTTTTGCTCCATAATTCAAATATTTCCATTTTTAGATTTATAGATACCAATTAAAATGATTATCCAGTGGATTTTTTTATTTCTTTGTCACTGTTATTCTTCCAGGCACCTTTGCAAACTTGCCTTCAGCATTGTCAACTTATGAACTGTATCAAATATAATTTGACACACAAATATCATAAAAGATGAAAGAATATGGTTAAGTATCTTTTTAGTATAACAGAATAGTCCAGGTTCTTGTAAAATATTGTATGATGAAGTCTTTCCTGTTGAGTGACTAACTGGACAAGAATACTTTATTTCCTTTTTGTCTTTAGAAATATATAGTTCACTCATCAATTCTTTTTTTTTTTTTTTTTTTTTTTTTTTTTGAGACAGAGTCTCACTCTGTTGCCTGGGTTAGAGTGCCGTGGCGTTAGCCTAGCTCACAGCAACCTCAAACTCCTGGGCTCAGGTGATCCTCCTGCCTCAGCCTCATGAGTAGCTGGGACTACAGGCATGTGTTACCATAGCCGGCTAATTTTTTCTATTTGTAGTTGTTTGGCTAATTTCTTTCTATTTTTACTAGAGATGGGGTCTTGCTCTTGCTCAGGCTGGTCTTGAACTCCTGAGCTCAAATGATCCTCTCACCTCGGCCTCCCAGAGTGCTAGGATTATAGGCGTGAGCCACTGCGCCTGGTTTGTCTAAGAATTGTGAAATGTCTTCCTCTGTCAATTACTTTTTATGGCCATTATGGAGGGGAAATTGTATTTTATTTTATTTTATTCTGTTTTATTTTATTTATTTATTTATTTTGAGACAGAGTCTCGCTTTGTTGCCCAGGCTTGAGTGAGTGCCGTGGCATCAGCCTAGCTCACAGCAACCTCAAACTCCTAGGCTCAAGCAATCCTCCTGCCTCAGCCTCCCGAGTAGCTGGGACTATAGGCATGCGCCACCATGCCTGGCTAATTTTTTCTGTATATATATTAGTTGGCCAATTAATTTCTTTCTATTTATAGTAGAGATGGGGTCTTGCTCTTGCTCAAGCTGGTCTTGAACTCCTGAGCTCAAATGATCCCCTCGCCTCGGCCTCCCAGAGTGCTAGGATTACAGGCATGAGCCACTGTGCCTGGCATGCACTTATCTTCTGATTTGTCTAAGAATTGTGAAATGGCTTCCTCTGTCAATTTACTTTTTATGGCCATTATGGAGGGGAAATTTTAAATTTTTGAAATCTCAACTGTATTCAATGAAAGCTAAAAGCACATTACACATATCGTGTCTCTAATCATTTATACCTTATTGAAAGATGATACAATATTTTGGGTGATGCAATATTTTGGGCAATGCAGTAAGAAAATTGAGGGATAATGCAAAGTGATGATTTATTTCATTATTGCATTATCCTTTTCAGTGATTTCATCATTCTTTTTTTAGTATTTTAATTTTTTAAAAAAGCATAATTGTAAATAATTCAAGATATAGAAAAAAAGAAGACTGACAAGATCCTATAATGTACCTTAGATTTATAAAAAGGTACTATGGGCCCATATGGACTAGCAATCCTCCCAAATAGTAAGGAATTGTTTCAAAACTCAAGTAATAAACTAAAATTGGGTCCAGTGAACCCTGCTGTTATACCAAGGGCTGAGTTCACCAGAAATATATAGTGACTATATTAATGAATGAAGCTTTTATTGTGAATCAAGGAAATGACAATTAGTTTTAGCCTTTCTTTACTAAACTTAAGCTCGAAGGAATTTGCTTCAGCTTGCATCTTTCGGTTCTGATCTTCACCTTATCTGTGCAGCATAGAAGAATAGTAAATTGGCTGGGCGCCGTGGCTCACGCCTATAATCCTAGCTCTCTGGGAGGCCGAGGCGGGCGGATCGTTTGAGCTCAGGAGTTCGAAACCAACCTGAGCAAGAGCGAGACCCGTCTCTACTGTAAATAGAAAGAAATTAATTGGACAACTAATATATATAGAAAAAATTAGCTGGGCATGGTGGCGCATGCCTGTAGTCCCAGCTACTCGGGAGGCTGAGGCAGAAGGATCGCTTGAGCCCAGGAGTTTGAGGTTGCTGTGAGCTAGGCTGACGTCACGGCACTCACTCTAGCCTGGGCAACAAAGTGAGACTCTGTATCAAAAAAAAAAAAAAGAAGAAGAAGAATAGTAAATTAACTTCCTTTTGAGTGGAGTGAGTGCTTCCTCCTCCTGCTGTTCATTTTGTTTGCAGGAGCTCTATTTTGTCTCCTGTGTCTCCACTCTAAGCCTCTTTTCTCCGTCAAAGCCCTTGAACTTCTAGCTGTTGAAGTGGAGTGCGTCTCTATTGAGCACAGGGTCCCAGTTGGGGAGAATCTCTAAGAGGTGTATATATCAAGCATGGTATCATTGTGTGCAGGCATTGTTGGAGTCTGCCAAACCCAGGGCTAGGCTGCCAGTACAAATGCCACGTTGACATGACATTTACAAGTTTAGAATTTGGAAAAGGACTAGCGGTGGAATGCCCCTCAGCTACCTCATTTAGGGTGGCAGTAACGAGGCCAATTTTTGATTTTCAGACTCAGAAATCACAAGAAGTAATACTTCATATAGAATTTAAAACTATCACAACACCTTTTTTTAGGAAATGATAAATCTTGTTTCTGGGATACAGGATAGACCATAATGGTTGAGAATGCGACTCTGGAATGAAACCTGGATTTGAGTGAGGGCTCTGTCACTCACTCTGTGACCCTGTGCAAGTTTATGCCTCAGTTTCCCATCTATAAAATTGGGATAATAATGTCACCTATATTATATGATTATCAGATAGATTAAATAATATATTTAAAAGTGTAAGGACTTTTCACATTCTTCAGGAACTTGTAAGAAATTCAGGTTTTCAGTTCTCAAATTTCAGTAATAAGTAGATATATTGTAATTTGCCAGGGACATGTTGTCATAGCATGAATTTGTGTGTAGACCCTTTCCTTGACGTAGACATTACTGAACACCATGCATAGGTATCCAGGACAGACATAGTTTTTTTCCTCTCTCTAGGAAAATGTAGAGCTGCAGTCAGGGTCATTTGAGTATTTGGCATCTCCACAGTTTCTTGGATGCAGAAACCATTTGGATGTTAAGAATTCATTTCATCACTCTGCATTGAGTAAGGAAAGAAAAAAAAAAAAAAAAAAAAAAAAAAAAAAAAAAAAAAAAAGAATTCATTTCAGTAATAGCAGTACTTTGATTGACTTGAACTTTTCTATGGCACATTCTAATGCAAAATGTAAACTCAGAGCTGTTCCAAAGGATAGACTGTGGCTTATTAGGGGCAGTAATAAACTTTGGCATAGGTAACAAAGTACTTGTTCTTGATTAAATATTTTGTCATGATGTAATACCTAAGTAATAGGTTTTTCTGTGCTACTTACATAAAATATTATCTTTACCACAGCACTTAGTTTATTTCCTTTCATCACTTTCACTACTATTAGTAAATTCTCCCAAATGATAAAATTCTTTCTTTTCTTTTTTCCTCCATGTTTTTCAGATCTTCAAAGCTGCTGCGGGCATTCTATGTTCCCTTCCTGTCAGATCAGTATACAGTATATGCAAACTACACCATCCTCAAGCCCCGGAAACCAAAGCAAATAAGGAAGAAAAGCGGAGGTTAGCAACACACCTGTGGCCCCAAAGGACAACCATCTGGTTAACTAGTGATTCAGCTGACCTGACTCCCTCCAAGTCATCGCCTGTAACATTTATAATAAAGGTCTCCTGACATGAATGCTGGAATCTGGGTGCTTTGGGCTAGTCAAAGTCTATTTCAAAGTCCAGTCAAAGTCACATTCACCTCTTGTCTGTGTCTCTGATCTGCATGTAAACTTTTTGCAACTAGACAGACAAAGGTCCTAAAGCACAGGTAGATATATTGCTTCACATCTCATTGTTTTTCTTCTGTCCAATTATTTACTAGACCGGAGAAGAGCAGAACCAACTTACAAGAAGAATTGAAAATCCTTGGACTGGATGGTTGCATTAAGCTGTGCTCCATTCTGTGGCCTGGCATCCGAGAATTAGCAAAGCTCTCTTAGGCCATATGGGCTTCTCCACCAAAGCTGTTTGGGAGCTCCTAGCAGACCTTCTTGTTCAGACCCTCATGCTGAAAAAGAACACAGTCTAGTTGCCAGCCCACATGTCCTTTCACCTCCAGCAAGACTAAGCTTCTGTAAAGTTCTTCACAGGACTAGGACCCTGTCCTGGAGCTATCTCAGGAAAAAGGCGACCATTTGAGGAACTGTGACTTAATTTTATTATATATAATGCCTCTAATTTTCCTTTTATTTCCTTTACAACCAACTGTAACCATATAGTGGTTGTGTGTTTGTGTGTTCTTAAGTTTTAGCATGCCATTTTTTGTATTATAGACTCTTCTGTATAAAGGTATCAACAGACCAAACTATAACTGTATAGGGCATATTTGGAGAACATTAATTCTATCAATTGGTAGATTGGGATGACATCATATTTTTAAGTATAATAATATATTCTGAGGCCATTGCTGATGAAATTAAGAATTTCCCTTTTTTTAAACAACCCTAGTAAAAAGGACTAGTGTATATTGATTAGCACCTATTTTTTAGTTCTATCTACTGTAAGGCACATCCTGCATGGGACACTTCTAGTCAAATAGGCAATGACAATGACCTAATTAAAATGTACTAAGTATATACTATTACTTTACCTGCATATGCAGTATTTCAGTTTACAAGGCACTTTCATAGCATCTCATTTGATCCTCACAGTTATAATGTGTGGTAGATAAGGCCACACATGATTTTATCCCCATTTTATGGATAAGGAAACTAAGATTTACCGGAGGAGGTAAAGTGACTTGCCCAAGATCACGCAGCCAGTAAGTAGCAGAGCTAAGACTAGAACCTAGGTTGTCTAACTTCTCATCTAGTGCTCTTTTATGAAAACATTACTTGAAAGGGCGATGAGGTTGACCAGACACATGATTGGTATTGTAACCCTCTATTTTAAGTAAGAATTTTATCTGTGTTTCTTTGAGTTCTTTGGAGCCTCCAGTCTGCCTGATGCAGCCTGGCCTGTGGCAGGAAAACAGTGCTTATATTTGGAAGTCATGTTCCTTTGCAGCCACACAGGATCCAAATATCAGTACTGTTCTTAAGTTGATCGGGGGCTGATATTATAGGTGCCTTATTTCCCTAAGAGTAATTGTTTCTAGTATCTGCAAATAGAATGATTCTGTTTTTGAGAGTTTTTCTGTCTTTTATTTTTCAAACAGAAGGACTTTAGTAGGAACTGATCCCAAGAGAAGAGAAGAGGTAGTAACGGAAGAAAGAGCTAGTTACCATATAAAAGGCTTCTCTTTGAGATCCTTTCTAAAGGAATATCTGAGATGAAGTTACCACTGGAGAGGTAATAGGTGTAGAGAGCATAGAATGATAACTGGAGAGTGAGTGAAGATAGACTGGGGTACCACTGACTTTAAAGCTGTCTGGCAGCTGGGCTTAGTGGCTCAGGAAGCTGAGGCAGGAGGATCCCTTAAGGCCACGTGTTCAAGACCAGCCTGGGAAACATGGCAAGGCCCCATCTCTCAAAAAAAAAAAAAAAAAAAAGAAGAAGAAGAAGAAGAAGAAGAAGAAAAAGAAAAGGAAAGAAAAGAAAAATTAGTCAGGCATGATGTCATGGACCTGTATAGTCCCTGCTAATTGGGAGGCAGAGGCAAGAGGATTGCTTGAGCCCAGGAGTTTGAGGCTGCAGTGAACTATGTTCGTGCTACTGCACTCCTGGGTGACAGAGCAAGATTGGCCCCTATGATCTGACTATAGGACAGAGAATTATAAGGGAAACATCTTGCCTTACTTTCAGTAGTAACTGTCTTTCACGGTAGCTAAGGCCCTCTGCTTTTTGTACTTGAAAGGAGGATGACGTTGACCAGAGACCTGATTGGTATTGTAACCCTCTATTTTAAGGAAGAATTTTATCTGTATTTCTTTGAGTTCTTTGGAGTCTCCAGTCTGCCTGTCTGTAGGGGTAGGTAAAAGAGTCCAGTAATGGAGAGCCACAGTAAGTGGGTTTTTGCTAATCAAAGCGATACAAAGCTGATGTTTTATCATCTTGCTTGTTTAAAAAAAATAGGTCTTCTGAGCAAGAATTTAATTATAATATAGCACAAAAAAAGATCAGGATTGATACAGGGGTTCCTTGGAAATATCAATTCCTATTCCTTTTAAAAGCTAATTGTGGTTCTCTTTATTCTGTGTATCACTTTGGTGAGAGCACAAAAAAAATTGCAGAACACTGTGCCACATGTTGTAGGTAAGGAATTGAGAAATGAATAGTTTTTTTGTGAAGGTGTTTTTCATGTGATATTTTATAAACATTAAAAAATCTCCATCTCTTAGCAAGGGATAGAGCTTTCACTGGGGAAAACATTTCAAAACACCTGTTCAGAGTAGCATTTCTCCTACAAGGAATCAATGTTCAGTATGAGCTAACTGCTGTGCTTGCTGTAAGGATCAAGTATCCAGGGTACTTATTTCTCCATAAATTGTTGGGTATTAAGGAATGAGGAACTACAGATTATTCCTAATAGCTTTGGATTATGGGCTGAGTTAGGGAGGGCATATACTTAGCAAATCCAGGATTCGGTCCCTAACTCTAAAGCAGCTTTATCTGAACCCCAAATCTTGTGACACTGAGTAGCATTACTGAACCAGTCTGTGTGGTAGGTAACCATTATCAAAATTTACCTCTTACCTGATGGGTGTCATCTGATAAGAAAGAAGACAAGTCATTTTAATCTCTTGGGATAATCATAGAAAATTGTAAGCCTGTACTCTTTATAACAGAATTCAAGTTTAGAAACAGATTCTTTGTTTTAAACCATGATGGTTCTTGACCCCAACCATTTATTTGGGTCATTTTCCCTAGTTTGGAGTTCTGGGAAAGAACCTTGAAAACCCTGTGTAATTCTGTGACATGAGATCTAAGGTGACCATCTGAGCAAAACACCAAGGGCAATCATTTATTGTGTTTTGCATTTCCTGGGATTTATTGAAATTAGAATTCACTGTGATTATGTAGTCTTCTGGCCAGTATCAGGCATCTCTGCTTTTAATTTGGTTAATTTTATTTTCTCTAGAGAGGGAAAAGAGGCACAATTTAATCTTTGCCTCCACAGGCATATTAAAGCTCATGTGTTAATCTATTCTTATGCTACTACATTAAATGCCTTGTGTAAATGGAGAAATGGGCATGTGCCCAACTTCAATTTTTTTGCAACAGAAAGATCAGACTTCTGTATGGCATTGTTGGATTTCAGAGGCTCTCTGGTGTATCCGTAAATCTGAATGTTGCCTTTAATTTTTCCAATCTACATAACCATGTGATTCATGCTGCAAATGAAATCAGGAAGCAGTACAGTGTTGAAGCAGGAGTATTCTCCAATTCACTTGTCTTCCTGATCCTTGTGCTTTATTTCATGTGTCAGTGTTTACATAACGTATTGTATTTTCTGTGAAAAGAAAAATAAATCACGGCAGTTTGATTTTCCTTTTCTTAATGTGACATTTTCTCTTTTGCTTGTAAATCTTTGTTGGAAATGGAAACTGAAGGAGCTCAATTCCATCTGTCTTCCCTCCAGCCCTACCCCTCAGAGTATAGACCTGCCTTCTATAGGCCAAATAGTCCAGAATGTTCATCCTGAAAACTTGAGGGAGAAGACTTTGGGAAAGCCAGGGAGGGTTATTTTTATTTTACCTATGGAAAAACCAAGCATAGTTGGAATTACTCAACGTTTGAACATTGTGCCTAAAAGAAATGAAGTTCCTGAATCCCTCTTAAGTTTTTGGATTGAGAATCTCTGGACTGTGAGAGTCTAATTTTCATAGAAATCCTGCACTAGTTATATCTAACATTTAGGCAGTTTACCCCCTTGTTGGAGTTGTCAAAAGGAACAAAACTTTAATGTTTTATTTTATTTTACTTTTTAGGAACAGGTGCTCATTATGTTGCCCAGGTTGGCCTGGAACTTCTGGGCTCAAGCAATCTTCATGCCTCAGCCTCCCTATATAGCTGAGACTATAGGCGCATGTGCACTGTGCCCAGCTGGAATAAAACTTTTTTTGTAAATGAATTCCTAACATCATTGCTGTACCTTGCACTTTATACCCAATAATTTCTAGTAGCCATCTGGTTTTGTACCATTGGTTATCATTTTTCTTCCTATAGGACCCAAAATTCCCTTGAAACTTGGTTTGATTTATTTCTCTCAAGTTGTTTTAGGGAATGATGTTTTTATTATAATAACATAATTCCAGGAGGGAGCAGTCTACAGCCTTAATTTCTTTTTTCTTATCTAGAATGTCATCCTTTTCTCTGTTTATTTGCTGCTTTTACTTTTAGGGCTGTCTCCCTCTTCTAAGAAGGAGACTCCTGTGATTACCTCCTTTTCTGAACCCTCTTGAGTACCTAGTGTCTTAACTAATGGCATAGAACCTTAGCATATAAACCTTGTAAACCTGTCTTCCAAGAATATTGTTGGCATGCTAGAGGCAAAGACCATGTCACACTCCTTTGTATTCCCAGTGCTCAACATGGTTCCCTGGACATTTGGATAGTGTACATGTTTAGTGACAATGAATAAAGAAAAGTAAAAAGAAACCTATAACTAACATATATACAGCAGTTGCTCTCAATTTGACATGGATTTTTAGACCACAGAAAATACAGCAAGTCCTAAGTCCTGTAGTACTCAAAGGGCAATGTGAAAGATATGAATGTTTATATTTTAGCAATTCTTCTGAAGTACACAGGCTTCTGCACAAAAGCAGATTCCTCCCATAGTTTCTAAAAAGAGAGAGGGTAGTTTTATTGACTATTTCTATCATTACTTGATTTTGGAGGGTCAGACATAGCCCAGGAGACCTTCTGACCCAATAGTTTGGGTCAGCAAACCTCTCCTTCCAGGAGGTGCTCGGGTCCTGTCAGCTGCATGACCTGCTAGGAAAAGGCAGTCTGACTACAAGATGACTTTGTGGTGATACACTCAGATTGAGTAATATTAAGTAGCAAGTGACATTTTAAAACTGAGGGCTGTTTTTGGCTCTCTTTTGCTGTGGAGTTCAGCATAGACCTGATGTCTAAGCACATTATAACTAACAAATTTGGTAAATGAAGTTAGGGAAATGGAATTGTAATGGCAAGGACAGACTGGGAATTTCCTGTTGTAACTTCACAGAATAAATAGTCTGTGTTTAAATTAATAATTGAGTTTAAATAGCATTTTACTTGAGTATGAGCTTTTTTTTATTTTTTATTTTTAAAGTGACTGTTCAGGCATCCTCATAAAATACTTCAAGGTGGTAGTATGACTTTTTGTTTGTTTTTGGTTTTGTCTCTAGTTTGTGGGCTTTTTCTGTCATTACATGCCTGGAGATAAAAGTATAAACCGGGAGACTTTTTGGTGGTCCTAACAGCCAAAAGATTGTGTGATTTAAGACAAACTTCTGACAAAGTTTCTTTTGCAGACCAACAACCATGGATTCCAGACATTACCTGCCTTTAGAAGTGCTCTCTTTGGCCTTCGTTGTCATGCGGAAACAGTATTTGGCAGTTGGCACCCTTAGCCTTTGATTCGTCATTTTAAATCACAAATCCCAAGTTGCCGAACAAGAAGGGTGTGTTTTTGGTTTGTTTGCTAGCTTCTTCAGCAGCACAGGACTAAATGCTGAAGAAATTGTTACCTATAAAGCAGCAATTCTCAAACAGAGCTACACGATGCAGTCATTTGGGGATCCTTTAAAAAATTGCCACTGTCTGTTTAACCCTTCAGGAATTCTGAGTTGGTAGCTCAGGATAGGCCCAGACATCATTATTTTTTTAAAAACTCTCTAGGCGACTTATCGGATACATAGCTAGAGTTAAACACCACTGCTCTTGATAAAGACTGAGTGGCAAACAATCACACCAAAGATCAAAGACTATTAAGCAGGCAAAATGTTTGCTGTCTTTTTCTAATTATGACCCTGGTACCCCTGGTTACCCAGGCCTTCAGCCAGGCCTCTTCCCCTCCATAGACCTTTTTCTCTGCTTACTTGGGCCTATCAAACTCACTTGCTGTATCTCCCATTCCCTTTGGGCCCGGCTTTCCAGGAAACGATTAACTAATATGGTACTGAAGTACACTAATGGATGTTAATAATTTACTGTAGTTCTCTTCCCATTGATTCATCTCAGTAAATTGAGTGATAACACATGTGGGGAAAAAAGAATAAATGACTATAATTTTGGCAATTTCAGACTTACTCAGTGCCATTTTATTGGTATATTTATTAGGTGGGAGGAGAAAATTTGAGCAGGCAGACCCAACCTTCAGGAAGAACCTGGTCTTCAATTCAGTGCTATTGCTTGGTACTGCTTGGCCTACTCAGGTAAGGACCTGTGTCTGTGTTGAGTAGGACAATGGAAAAAAAAGTGTGTGTGTGGGTACTAAGCCCTCCTGCTGCAGGACACACTGGGGGAGCCTGCTTTGTGTGTTTTAAAAAATATATTTAACTGTTTATTTGAGACAAGCAAAGTGAAGACCATACTTCACCTTTGTTATTCTACCTCTGTCTTCTGCAGACAGAGCCTCTCTGGAGCTGCTGCCACTACCTCAGCCATGAGAGCAAAGGTTAATCTCATTTTGAGAGAAATGGCCCGAAATGTACTCAGTCAACCAACAAGAAGACACCACGTACACTATTCAGGAGTTGGTCTCACCTCTTTCTTGTCTCCCTGTTAACAATATGTCTCTAAGCCTCTCTGATATTTCCTATAATGTGTTCCCATTTTTTTCTTGCCAGTGAAGTATTTGCAAAGATATGTAGAAAAGGAGGCTGGTTTTTCGGTGCTACATTTATAAAAGAATCTTAGGAATTTTTTTTAATTCAGCCTTTTCCTTGGGTCTTTTTCTATATTTGTGTTCTCACAGTCTTTGATTACTAGAGATAGTCTAGAAAATAGCACCAAAGTTTAAATTTGTTGCCATGTTTTTTTTTTTTCTTTCGTTCTTTTGGTTTTGTTTTACTCCCAAGTATCACTACCTCTGACAATTTAAGGCAACCTTATCTGCCATACCATTCTAGAGGCTTCCCTCATGCCCAGCAGAGGGCATCCTATTCTCACTAAACATTTCAGAGCTCCTGTCTCTCCAGCAGCTTTCAGTATTTGTTGTGTTCTTGGTGTAATTCCAGTGTACATTGAAATACCTTAGTTGCATTTCTTTGGAATTTTGCACTCTACTATTGCACCATATTGCACTCTACTATTACTATAATGCAAAAATTTCCTGGAAAAAACTATGTCCATAACTACCAGGGCATGACTTGTCCATCACAACAATGATTCCCTGATTGGTAGACGATTCACAAGTCAATTCTCAGTTGATTTCAGTTCTATTTGTCATGACTTTGATTGTATTCTTAGGTAATAAAAGATACGCGTTTGAGTGAGAAGAGGAAGCAGCTACTCTTAGGGGCAATTGCCCTTTGTCCATTTTCAATATTCTAAATATGTGCAAACCACATCACATGCACAGTTTGAACTTTACCTCTGCTAACTTATTGATATTGTCAAAGACAACCACCCCAAAATATGAAGGTCCAGGGTTCTACCCTTCAAATGCTAACAAATTATCCACAACACTGTAGCCCAAGGGACAGTAATAGCATTTAGCAGGGCCTGAGCCTTGTAAAGTAAAAGGCTTTAGAATGCCTTTGACTGCACTTGGGATGAAAAGCAAGCATTTGCAGAAGGAAGTATAATTTGCATTTTAAAAGTATAGGATAACCACCTAGGCAGATTTGGGCCTTAAGGAATAGACAAGGTACAGCCTATCAGATACAGAAGAGGATTCCCTTCTCCATATGTGTGACACCTGATACCCTCTTTTGAGCTCAGTCTCTGAAACTTGGGACTGTATGGATTTTGCATTGGTATCTTTTTCTGTTGGTTTTGTTTTGTTTTATATACCATCTACATTGTCAGATTTGCTTTGTGAGAAATAATATGAATAACAGCTAATGCTTATTAAGTATTTATTATAGGCCAGGAATGAATTGCTTTTTCTTCATAGTCCTTACAACAACCTTATGAGGTTGATAACTATTATTAACCTCTTTTTATAAATGGGAAAACTGAGGCTTGGAGATGTTATTAAGTGTCTTGCCCAAGGTCATCTGAATATAAAATTGTTGACCCGAGATTCAAACCTAAACAGTGACTTCAGAGCCTCTCTTTAAACCATGACCTTACATTCCCTATTTCATGACCTCTTTGAAGTCCACAGTCATTAACCTCCTTTTTTGGATGTTACGTTGGGGAATCTAGAAGGATTTTATCGGCAGAGATGAGAGCAGGATCTAGTTAAAGTTGTTTCACTTTTTTTTTTTTTAATCACCTTTTTAATCTGCTTCCAGTAACCACAGCCTGGAGGTTGTCCTAGTAGAACAGAGTGTGCAGATAGTACATTCAGTCTTTGCAGGAGCTTTTCATGAACACTGTGGGCTCCCAGTTAATTTTAATCACATAGCTAGATCAGAGAGGGAGCTGATTTCCTGAAGTCCTAGAAGTTAGTGGAAATTCCGGTCTCTGATTACAGTCCCAGCTGGATTTCTGCCAGATGTGAATGGCGTGTCCAGGGGATCTTGGCCCTGGTCCTTTCTTACTCTTGTGACTTTTCTCCTGACAGTTCTTCTGCTGGGCAGATCAGAAAACAAAGTAGGAAAGAATACCATCTTCAAGGGGGACCACAGGCAAAAGCTTTCAGGGGAGCAGAAATATTTTAAATAAGCCTTGCTTTTGCTAAATCAAGCCTCTGTCTAGCTGGATCCTGGGGACAGTGTGCCCAGCTGCTGAAAGCTACTACTTATGTTGGCTAGGTCTAGTACAAGATATGGTGATAAGAGGCTTACAAAAATAAGAGAGAGGAAGGAAATCTGGACTCTATAGACCCTGTGGACATAGCAGGGCTAGACAGAGAATAACTGGGCAAAAGGAGCCTATTATACACACTTATGGATGCCACAGGAAAGGCCAGCCAGGAGGAGGCAGAGTACAGTTTGTTTCAATAGATAATAATCTCCATGGTTCAAAATTCAAAAAGCCTAAATGCAATGTGTTATCCTGGAGTGGGTCCTGCAACAGCAAAAGGACATTAATGGAAAAATTTGAATAAAATCTGGAGTTGAACAAATAGTAAAACAAAACAAACAAATGAACAAAAACAAAGCACAAATGCATATACTGTACATTTCAAAATATTTCCTTTCCATCTCTGTTCTCCAAGTACCCAGTTACCTTGCTAATGAACCAATGTTATTAGTTGTGAGCATCCTTCTAGAGATTTTTTAATACATATCCAAGTGCATGTGTGTGCATTATATTTTATACAAATGGTACGGTACTATTACACACTCCCTTGAAAATGGTATTCTTTCCTGCTTCCTTTTCTGTTCTGGCCCTTGCTTTAAAAAAAATTTTTTTAAGATAATTTTAATATTAGCCATTTGGAAACAATCTGTCATTTCTGAACATTTTCAGCTTTAAGTAAACCTGCAACTTTAATAACACTGTATACCTTGCTCTTTCACTTAACACTGTTAACAAAGGGTTTTTGTTGAGTGGTGTATAGCATCTGGCAAGATAACCAGGGGTTCTGTCCTGAGAGCATTAGAGCCCATTTGAGTCTCAGGACTCAAAGGCCTGAGACTTTTGAGAGAAGTCACCATGCCTGTTTGATCTTCAGGTTTGCCATAACTTAAAACCTACCCCTGTAGCTAGGGGAAGTACTAATTCTGACTGCTGTTCTTGGGGAATTGGGGGCCTACACACTTTGAGCAGAGATCTTCAGATATTTTCTTTTTGTGTTTGGCATGGGCACCAGATTCAGTGAGCCCTTGACAATAAATAATTCAACTTCTAATATTTGCATAGTGCTTTCCATTGACAAAGCACTTTACCAGATGGATCTCAACTCCTCACAACTCCGAGAGGTAAAACCTCTCTTTTACCAGTGTAAAAAAATCTTCTGGAGTCAGGTCTTTTGGCTCTAAATCTTGTACTCCTTTCATTCTTTCACGCTGGTCCTCTCTGTTGCCAAAGCTCAATTGATTGGAATGTTTTCTTATCTGCTCCTACTTCCTCAGTAGATAATAATTCATCATGGCTAACATTTGAGGGCTGTCTTTTGCCAGGCACTAACTAAGTACATTATATGAATTATTTAATCTTCTTGACAACCACATGAGTAAGCTTGGCAGCCCCACTCTGTAGATATAGAAACCAAAATTCAGAGAGGATAAGTTATTTGCCCAAAGTTACGCAGCTAGTAATTGGTAGAGGTGGGATTTCAATCTACATCTTCCTGACTCCAGGGAATACTCTCCTCTCTTAACCATTATATGTACTGTTCTGAACCAGAACTGACTGTCCTATTTCTTTGATTTGCTCTTCCCAAGAATTCAAGCAAAGTTTTGCTTTGGAAATCCAATACCTTCTTTTATATATAGTGAGAAGCTGTGGAATGGAGGTAGGGTATGAAGCAGGGGTTAGCAATAATCCCTGATCATGAGTTCTACGGCTGCTTCTGATTTACTATGTGACTTCAGGTAGAGCTTCTTTCTTTTTGTCAGAGTATTTTTTTTTTTTTTTTTGAGACAGAGTCTCGCTCTGTTGCCCGGGCTAGTGTGCCATGGCGTCAGTCTAGCTCACAGCAACCTCAAACTCCTGGGCTCAAGCGATCCTTCTGCCTCAGCCCCCTGAATAGCTGGGACTACAGGCATGCACCACCACGCCCGGCTAATTTTTTCTATTTTTAGTTGCCCAGCTAATTTTTTCTATTTTTCATAGAGATGGGGGTCTCATCTTGCTCAGGCTGGTCTCGAACCCCTGACCTCAAGCGATCCTCCCACCTTGGTCCCCCAGAGTGTTAGGATTGCAGGCATGACCCACCGTGCCTGGCCTGTCAGAGTATTCTTATCCATAAAAATGGGATTAAAAATTTGCCACAAAAAAAAAAAACAGAGAAGGGAAAGAAGGCAAAAATATTGAGGTGAAATTGAGGGGAAAATATTTGAGTTCCACAGAATGATGACATTCTTTGCATAAATATAAATTTAAGATATCATTAACAGTATGGTGATAATTACTACTTTGTAATGAAATAAGTACAGACCTGGGAAGGGATTTACCAGGGTCATCTTGCTAAATAAAGATATTTGGAAAATGCCTCTGTGCACTTCGGGTTTTCTGTGCTGGGCCAACCACCGCTCTCCTGATGGCCCTTTCAGTGGGACCACAGTCTGGGTCTGCCCTGAGAGAACCACCGTCAGGTCTCCTGCACAGGCCTTCTCCCTGGCAGTGGGCTGACTTTGGGGCAGATCAGCACTTGAATAAGTGCCTACTTGTAAAGCTCTGGTCTGAGCTTAGTAAAGGGGAGGCAAAGGGCCAGAATGATGGTCATGATGTCATTCAGACTTCCTCAGGACTACTCTTTTCTGATGCGACATTGAGAGCTGTTACAAACGGATCCCATCTGCCTGTACTTCCCTATATTCTTGACGCTTTGTCTTACAGGAACTGAGCAAGTCTAACCCAGTCTTCCCTTGATTCACACTGGATGAGTGAACTGTACGTGGGAGTCAGAACTCAGTGCTTTTATGCTGAGAATGTCACGTTGTTTCTAAGGGCTGCCTTAAATCCTCAGTCTAATCTCAGCTGTTGCCTCTGGCGTTCCCTGGTTATTAATTTCTTATGGTGTGTGTGGGAAGTGGAGAGAAGGCCTGAGGGAGCAATAGAGGGGAGAAGAGGATATGGAAATAGCTCAACGCCACAGAACTGTATTGCGAGTGCTTGGCTAATGTCCAGGAATCCAGCAAAAGAGGGATCACCCTTTTAATCTAGCAAAACCCACAGCCTACAGAGACAGAATTGCTTATCAATAAGCAGTTATAGCTGTCGTTTGCTTTCTCTGGACAGAGATGGCCTCCGAAGACTTTTCAGACTCTACCTGAGCAGACAGATGGTTGTTTATCGACATGGAAATTATTTTTCCAGATGAACTTTTCATATCAGTGACTTTCAAATGTCAATGCACATTAGAAACACCCAGTGGACACCATGAAATGTCTGGCCCCCTTCTTAGGGACTTTGATTCAGTAGGTCTGGGTTGGAGGCCAGGAATCTGCATTTTTAATTGGCAACTTGGATGATTCAGATAGTTAGCCTTAGAATTTGGCCCAGTTTTTGAAATAGCCTTTCTGCTGCTGTTTGAATCACTTTCTTTATTGAAGCATTTATTAGCATTTCCATGTTTATTACCTGTTTTATTCTCACAGCATCATAGTAACTAGATCAGGTACCAGAGATGATGGATGGTTAGCTCCATTTTATTGGGGTGAGGGGGTAAAAGGTGGGACTGAGGCATAGGGAGAGGTAGGTTATAATGAATCAGAAACAGTGATGGCCATTCCAGAATTGATGACTCTCAAACCAGGCAATTTTCTGGGGCCTATTTTCTCACCTTGTGATTTCATATTTAATCATAGTTATTCCTTAGATCTCCAATTCATTGTGCTTGGGTAAGCAAAGCATATTTGAGTTTTAAACAAAATAGTTTAGCATCAGTGTCCCAATTTTTGTTAGCATATTGAGGCTTTTCTGAGCTTAAGCTAATATCTAGATGATAATATGTATGGAACTGAATCCACTTCTCTTTGTCCTTGCTTCCTTTATCATTTCTGAAAACTTTTTACATAAAGTCTTCTCCATGATAATAGGAACTCCATCTGATCTTCTAACTGGTAAAGTACTAAATTAAGAACTGCTTAGCCATTTCTCTCAAACTTGCGTAGTATATGGATCCATTTTTAAAGAAATAAAAAACACTGAAAACTCTCAATCAACTTAAATTATTTTTTATTACAGTGTTACTTAAATTTACAGTATAAATGATGAATATATGTTCTTTTATTTATAACTCTTAGCTAAAAAAATTTACAAATACAAATGAAATCACAAAACTAATACTATTCAAGTTAGTAAGGCTGTAGTAATTTAACATGACAAATGATGTATTTTGCTAAAACTAAATCATCCCTTATATTGTGATTATGGTATTGCCTGCTAAAGCTCAGCTGCTTTTGAGTTCAATATACCTATGTACCAAGTGGCCTATGATATATCAATTTTCTCACTACTTTTCTCTGTTAGAACTACTCAGTGCAGTCTCATGATGTCATTTGGCTTTCATTTTGTGCATGAAAGCTTCGTTTTCATTTTAAAACCACTTCTGTTCTTTTTTCATTATCCCCAAACAATAAAAGCAGCCCTGAAAGACACCTGCAAATGCAGATGTTGAAATTGTGTGGCAGTACTAAGTTAAAGCAGTCATTCAGATAATCCAGAATATGCTATGCAAACCTAAAAAAATAAACAAATGAAAACAAAATTAAAACCCTAAAGAATACATCCACCTAATTTGAGAAAAATTGTTCAGGTCTCTTGGGTCCCAAACGTTCATTACTACCAAAGGCTCTATTTACTGTGCTTACTTCCAAGAACCCCATGTTTTAAAAAAAATTGTCTCCTAAATTGCATTTATTAATAATTTTACATTTTTTATCAATCACACACATAGAATTACCATTTCAGAGTTTGGGATCATCATATGTAGTTATCATTCTAAGTTGCTTGAATTCCAGTCCTAAACAAACAAAAAGACAGGAAGGACCCATGCTGTCCTAAGCAGGATAAGTGAAAACTTTCCATTCAGTTTTGTAAGAAAGAACTCCCAGACCCCGACCTCCACCTCCTCGCACTGCTGCCTTTGAGGACTCTTGGAGGTCTAGGGAGGCCAGTGTAGGCTTTCTTGTACAAGCCAAGTACCCACTCCACCCAATTTGGAAGGATTAAAGCTTGTCCTAGTTTTGCTTCATTGTTGTACTTCTAGCATGCTAAAGAGCTAAAAAATAGGAGGAAGAAAATACAACAGAAGGCACCATTCCAGTACCAAACTGAAAAGAAACACAAAAACAAGAGAGCAGCATGTTTTTAACAGCTTGCGTGGAAAAAATATTGACTGGGGAGTTTGGACAGAGCTGTTCATTTTCTCTCACCGCCCGCGTTATTTGTCTTACGGCGCAAGAGCCAGATACGATTCTGGAGAACAGGCCCCAAGGAAGAAGTGGAGGGGCTCTGTGGAAGCATGAGGCAGAGCGGAGAATTTAGGGCTGGCGACCCAGTGGCTCGGGGTCAGGATGAAGCCAGGAGAGGTTCTAAATCCTTTTTCCTCGGGGCTTTGGGCATCCTCTTCAGCCGGCCTGTGTGCTAAGAGGGCGCAGCACGCCTCAGCCTGTTAGGTCTCCGGCCCGTTCAGACCACAACGAACAGGAGGAATCCCTGCCCCAGTTTGCTTCGGCTGGGGAAAGGACGCGGGGGTCCCATGAGCTTTCTCAGCCCACCCTCCTTGTGGAGTTTAGACCTACAACTCTTGCAGCGGGGTTCCGAAAGTATCCTCCTTAAGCGAGGCAGAGACGTAGCTCCCCCACCTCGGCGGAGCCCGCGCCCCGGCCTTAGCCCCGCCTCCCTGGGCGCGGGGCGGGGCCTGAGCGCGGGGCGGGGCCTGGGCGCAGAGCAGGCGGCGGCGACCAGCCGGAGGAGAAAGAACATGGCGGGCGCGGCGGGGCCCGGGGCCGGCCCAGCGGCAGCGGGCGGAGATGGAGACGATTCGCTGTACCCGATCGCGGTTTTAATCGACGAGCTCCGCAATGAGGACGTGCAGGTATTGGACTGAGGCCGGAGACTCGAGGCGGGCCCGGCCGGGCGCGTGGTAGGGGAGAGAGAAGGCCGGAGCCGCTGTGGGGGAGGCCCGGGGATTGAACGAGCCGAACTCGGAGCAGAAACTTGAAGGGGAGGCGAGAAAGACGCCTGAGGGGCTGTGGTGTCACGCCAGATCCTCCCCGGGACTTCTCCAGCGCCCCTCCTCCCGGTCCCCTGAGGCGTCGGCCCGGTGCCCCATCGGGCGTCTGAGAACCGGCTTCCCACCTGGGCGCCCCATCGGGGCGGCGCGGGCGGTCACGCCGGGTCCCTCCCTGGGCCGGCCGGGCAGTCCTGGTCGATGAGCCAGCGGGAGGAGCGCGGTGCCGGGCCGCGAGGGGCTTGGAGCGGGCTGTGGATCGCTGGGTGCCAAGGGACCCTTTTGCGGTGCAGCCCGGTGCCTTCCTCTCGGCCTGGAAACTGGCTGGGCTTGTTGGGTACAAATAGAGTGGGATGGCTTAATTAACCTAGATGGAGTTGGTGTATCAGCTCTGATGGAACTTTTCTTCGAAAAGGCAGGCGTTGTATTCAACCATTTGTATTCAACCTGCTTCACCACTGCCAAAGCTCTCGCTCTTGAAAATTATTTTACTTCCTGAGTTTTGTATTTCATTCATTTCTCTTCTAGGCCCTTTTAAGTGTTTCTCCTAGGAAATCTTCCTCTGGCTGATGAGGCAGAGTTACACTGCTCCTGAAGTCCTTATGAGGTTCCTTATGAATAAAATCTAAATGAAAGTTTGTTCTTTGTAAGAAGGATATCATTATTATGTCATTATTGCACCTTTTGTCTTTTGGTCTAAATTGCAGCCATTTCTTTACTTTTTTCTTTCTACTTTCTTTTTCAAAGCTCCGTCTCAACAGTATTAAGAAATTATCAACAATTGCTCTAGCACTTGGAGTAGAAAGGACGAGAACTGAACTGCTGCCATTCCTCACAGGTTTGTGGACCTTTGTTTAAAGAAAGGCGGGGACGTTCCATTTTCCAGTGTCTTTCAAAACTTTGTTGTTTAGAGTTTGTTACTGACAGTATCATTAAGTACTACACTGAGCCAGGTGCTTTCTGTGTAAAAGAAACAGAACAATGCATATTGTAAGGTTGTGACCAGATATATTTAAACATTAACTGTTTAGCTAATGGGAAAGTAATTGATATGGGAGTATGAATTTCTAATTCAGACTGTAAAAGAGATCCAGGAAGACTCTTGATTGAGGAGAAGAAAGAAAATGCTGTTAGGGTTCTGACTGGGCCATCTTACTGGCTACCTACTGAGTCTATTCCTAGTTTTGTGTGAGTGCCCGGCTCTGGGCCAGCTATACGTGTGATGAGTTGATGAGTATTTGGTTGATGTCATTTCCAGATACAATTTATGATGAAGATGAGGTACTGTTAGCCCTTGCTGAGCAGCTGGGAAATTTCACTGGCCTGGTGGGAGGTCCTGACTTTGCCCACTGTCTGCTGGTGAGTATTTGAATGTGCTTACCCTCCTCTTAGAATTTTTGCAGTATAAATGATACATTGTTTGGTGATAGGCACACAGCAGCATTTTTTATGCAGACCTCTTTATGGGCAGATAGTCATAATGTTAGCCATTGACAGAACAAGTAATATAGGTTCTTTAGACTCTTATTTGTCCAGCTATGAATAAAAGAACTTCTTCCACTTTTTCTGCCTCTGTAGACTTACTAATTTAGAGGTGGGGAGAAAAAGGATTTGATAGTTTTTATGTTTTTTTTTTTTTTTTTTTTACCCCCCTGAAGTTGGAAGTCTTAATTCTCATTGGAGAATGTCTTATCATTAATTGTTAGCATAAGCTTTGCTTCAGACTTTTTGAGTTTGATGAGTTCAGTTCAATTTAGTTGACATTTATTGAGAGTCTACTATATCAGGCAAATTATAAATTAACAATGTTAATGTTAAAGAAGACTAATCAATGGTGAATGGAATGAGGTCTCTGTCTTTGTGTGTCAACAAATAATTGCAGTTTTTTTAAATGGAAAAATACAAGCACCTATAAAGTACTCAAATGTTAGAGAGGTGAAAGATTAACTCAGGGTGTTCAGGAGAGACCTCTTTTTTTTTTTTTTTTTTTTTGAGACAGAGTCTCGCTTTGTTGCCCAGGCTAGAGTGAGTGCCGTGGCGTCAGCCTAGCTCACAGCAACCTCAAACTCCTGGGCTCGAGTGATCCTTCTGCCTCAGCCTCCCGGGTAGCTGGGACTACAGGCATGTGCCACCATGCCCGGCTAATTTTTTTATATATATATCAGTTGGCCAATTAATTTCTTTCTATTTATAGTAGAGACGGGGTCTCGCTCTTGCTCAGGCTGGTTTTGAACTCCTGACCTTGAGCAATCCGCCCGCCTCGGCCTCCCAAGAGCTAGGATTACAGGCGTGAGCCACAGCGCCCGGCCAGGAGAGACCTCTTGAGAGATGTTGTCTGAATTAGATTTTAAAGGATAACTGGGAATTCAGTAGTTGGACAAGGTAGGGATATCTGCTTTAGGTCTTTAAAATACTGTTTGTGTGATGCTGACTCTTGTGATTCATATCTCTACCTCTGACTTTTCCATGGAACTCCATAGATAGATAGATACAGATGTATAGAGATAGATTTAGATATATATATATATATATATCACTGTCTATGTATATCTGCCTATGCTTTTTCTACTTGGATGTCAAACTGGTATTTCAAATTTAACATACCTAAAACAGAACTCGTCCCCAAAAGATGCCTCTTATTTTGTTGTTCCATTTACCCAGTTGTATCACCATCTATCCAGTTACACAAGCTAAAACCTAGAAGGTGTTCTTTAATTACTGGACTACAAGGTGGAGCAGCCTTTCAGAAGGTATTCTTGAATCCTCTTTTCCTTGTCCCCCAAATCTAATCTGTTAGTAATTCCTACAGAGTCTATATAGATTCCCCAAATCAGTCTACTTTCTTCCATCCCTTCTACTGCCACCATAGTCCAGACCACCACCATCTTTCCTCTAGAGTACTGCAGTAGCTTCCTAACTAGTTGCTTTCCACTCTTGCCTTGCACCTCACCCCTACAGTTCACTCTTCACCCAGTAGGTAGATCACTCCCTGTCATGACTCTTAGAAAATCCAAACTCTGTGCAAGACCTTTTATGATCTGCTTCTGAAGGCTTATCAAATGGTGTTCCCTCTTGATAACCTCATTCCACTCATACGGGTTTTCTTTCTGTTCTTTGAATAAACCAAGCTCATTATTTCCTTAAGACCTTTGTCCTAGGTCTTCCCTTTAAGAAAATGCTCTTTTGAGCTTCCTGTGGCTGGCTTCTTGTCATTCAGATATCAATTTCAATATATCTCCTCAGAGAGATCTTCCCTGACCACTCAGCTTGAAATAGCCTTCCAGTCACCCCTTATCATATCATTCTATTTTATTTTTCTACAGAGTACTTATTACCATCTGCTTGTTTTCTTGACTGATCCTAGTCTTTCTCCATTAGAATGTAAATGCCATTAGAGCAAGGAACCTTGTCTGCTTCTTTCCTTTGGAAACTCAGTGCTAGAATACAACAATAATCATTTATTGAAAGCATGAGTTTCAGAGGCTTGGAAGCATGAAGCATAGGTTTCAGACTGCTGGGGTATGAAGTGTTGGCTGGAATAGGCAGGAGTGGTCACCAAGGGCCAGAAGGAAAAGGGCATTGGAGAAGTGGGCAGAGCTCAACTCAAGAGACAACTCATCAGCAATTCTCAGGAGCTTGACCTTATCCTGTCTTATTGATAGAGATTATCCAGTGGTCCTGTATGACAGCAGGTTATGGTAGGCAGAGGACAGATCATGAAAGGCCTTGGAAAGTAAGAAACAGTATATTTTCAATTGGCTTCTGAAATACTGTTAGGAAAATTGAGTAATGTCCAGCTTTGTGTATCAAACGATGTTCAAAATGTATTATTAGGCAGGCACCCTTATTTCCTTTGACTCTTTATCCTTGTCTTTCAGTCTGTTGCTCAGTTCTACATGTGGGTTTTATACTTTAACATCTGTAGTTCATGGCACGTGCTGAATCTACCTGTCCCAAATGCAAACACAGTAAGGCAGAGATTCAGAGAACCAGCCTGTTTTCACTTTTTACTGGGCCATGTCATATTCAGTTACTGATCCTAGTCCAGACCATCAGCCCCTTTGATTTCTTCTATTTCTAAAGCTGCAAGCAGGGTCTCCTACCATCTCTGTACTCTTCACTTGATTGTTTTGCCAGAAACTCCGGCTCTATGGCTCATGGGAAGATTCTGAATGTATTCTGAAAAAAGTGACTTTGTACTCAACCGTTTATAAGTTGGATAAATTTATGATGTGGAGCTGGTGAACAAGGCTTGCTTGCACCTCTGGGAATGGTAGAATAATATTCAAAAGGCTGTGGACTCAGTGACATCACAGCTTGTTGAGTGTTATTGTAATTGTGGTGCCTGATGTCGATCATATTTTTGTACTTAATCTTGAGGAAATATATATGATCCTATCTGAATTTGGCTACATATCTTTCAAACCTAGTGATTCAGCTCACAATAATATTAATATTGTGTCAAGTCTTTTCCACTGTGTCATTTGTAGACACCATCTGGGAATTGCCATCTGGGACATGAGATCTTGGCTTTTCTACAGAAGTCGTGTCTTCAGGTTGGCTGTACCGTATGTTATCACTGTGGGAATTGAAAGTAACCATTTGGTATGATATAGCTAACATTCTGGTTACGTGTACCACCTCCCTTCAGTCACTTTAAAAAGTGATAATCTGTATCTGACCTGATTCATTAAGTTCTTCTATGATTTTCCTTTTTGATCTTTTCAGCCTCCTTTGGAAAGTCTGGCAACTGTGGAAGAGACTGTTGTTCGAGACCGGGCTGTGGAGTCCCTGAGGCAAATCTCCCAGGAGCATACGCCTATTGCTCTGGAAGCTCATTTTGTACCTCTGGTGAAACGCCTAGCGAGTGGAGATTGGTTCACTTCTCGCACGTCTGCATGTGGTTTGTTCAGCGTTTGCTATCCCAGGGCCTCAAATGCTGTCAAGGCAGAAATCAGACAGTAAGATAGTTTTTTGGTTTTTGTGGGGTTTTTTTTTTTTAGTTATTTGGGATTATTGGGGATTCATAGGTGACAATTTACACAGTACCCTGTTACCACTGAGTGGCTGATACCAGGATAAGATTGATGTCATCATTTTTTATTATCCAGTTGAATATACTATTTTTATTTTTTTATTTTTGTTATTTCTAGGAATAAAAGCCTAATCATTAATGTTTGTAAGAGAAAACCTCTAAAATGTCTGTGTGTGTTGGGGCATGTTTAATCATGGTATCTGATGCAAAATATCTTCCTTATTTTATGTTGCAGGCATTTCCGTTCCTTGTGCTCAGATGACACACCAATGGTACGACGTGCTGCTGCTTCCAAGTTGGGAGAATTTGCAAAAGTTTTGGAATTAGACAGTGTGAAAAGTGAAATTGTTCCATTGTTCACTAATCTAGCTTCAGATGAACAGGTAAGTTAACTCTTAGTATTTAAGGGACAACATAGATATGCTACTCTCTTCTAAATTTTAGGAATTTCTTGTATTTTTTGTTCTTTTAATTTAATTTTTTTATTTTAGGAATGTCTTTGAGGAGGTTTGGTCCTCATGTTAGAATCCTTTTTGTAAAATTAATACTTAATTCTGAGCTGGATAAAGTGTAATATGACTCACTTCAGTGTTCTTACGTTTCTTTCTTAAGCAGACCATGATTTTCTTTCTCACCTTAGCAGCTGGTGAAAGAAGGGCAAGTCAGGGATTAAATGGGAGCCATAATTAGGAAGACTAAGCTGCATCAAGGGATAACATATCTTTGGGAATTGTCAGCTGTATTGTAGTATGAGGGAGTAATGTTTCCTGTTATTTTTAACTTCAAGATAAATAAGCATAGAATGTGTTAGGAAAGCTGTTTGACCCACTGCTTCCTCTGTACTAGTATATGAGAGTACGTTGCATAATAGCAATTTTAAATCCAAGGAACTGAGATCTCTTTGGTGTAGAAATAACAGTAAAAATAGCAAACACCTAAATAAAGTGCTTAATATTTCTCAGCCTGTTTTAAGTGGTTACATGTGTTAAGTAATTCAGTCCTCACAACAACCACATGAGATAGATACCCAATTTTACATATTAGGAGACAGAGGCCTAGAAAGTTTAAATAACTTGCTTAAGGTAGCATAGTTAGTAGTGATAGAGTCGGGATTTGAATCTAGGCAGTTTGGCTCCAGAATTCATGCCCTTCATAGCTAGGCTATACTGCCTCTCTGTAATGGTGCTTAGAAGGATCAGCCCCCAGAGTTCCTGGACTCTAGAATAATCCTTTTGGGTTTTTAATTTGTCTAGTGGCTGCCCTAGTATCACTTCATGTATACAGGACCACGAGTACTAGGAAACACATTGATGAATATCATTTTCAGATTCTAAATCTAATGATGATAAATCTTACTTTCAAAATAATTTTTAAATTTGTTAAAATAACAGAAAACAACATAAAATGTATACAACTTAATGAATTATTATAAGGTTATATTATCTTGTAGCTAGCATCTATGAAAGGATATAGTGCTTTGACAACCAGTACCCCAGAAGCCGTCCATGGGCTGCCTTCCAAACATAGTCCTTCCCTCCTCTGCTCTCCACTTTTTACTCCCTTAAGAGTAATATTATTCTGACTTTTAAGGTAATCACCTCCTTACACTTTACACATTTTTTTGAGACAGAGTCTCACTCTGTTGCCTGGGCTAGAATGCCGTGGTATCAGCCTAGCTCACAGCAACCTTAACTTCCTGGGCTCAAGCAGTCCTTCTGCCTCGGCCTCCCTAGTTGCTGGGACTATAGGCATGTGCCACCATGCCCGGCTAATGTTTTCTATATATTTCTAGTTGGCCAACTAATTTCTTTCTATTTTTTAGTAGAGACGGGGTCTTGCTCTTGCTCAGGCTGGTTTTGAACTCCTGACCTTGAGCAATCCACCTGCCTCGGCCTCCCAGAGTGCTAGGATTACAGGCATGAGCCACTGCTCCCGGGCACACTTTACACTTTAATTACCCAAACATTATAGTTTAAAACAGTGCCGTCCAACAGAAATATAAGCTACTACTAATTTTAAGTTTTCTACTAGCCACATTTTTAAAAGTAAAAAGAAATAGGTGAAATTAATAATATATTTTACCCAGAATTTACAAAGTCTTATCATTGGAACATGTGGCTTAGTGGTTGCCACGTTGGACAGCTCATGTTTAGAATCCTCATTTGGAATTTTATTGATTACATTTCCCATGGTATAATTTAACATTTTCTCTTGTCCTCTATATTTCCCACAAAATAGTAGTTGAATCTGAAGTTAGCAGTTTTCTTTTGTGTGGGCCAGTTTCTATTGTCCCTGGTCAGTTCTGCTGTTATAATACAAAAGCACCCATAGATAATATGTAAACTAACAGGCATGGCTGTGTTAAAATAACAACTTATTTATGAAAACTGGTTTCCTCTTGAATTTGGCCAGTGTTTTCTCACCTGTGATCTTAAGGCTTAATCAGATTTAGGTTTGATATTTTGGGAGTGATAAGCATACTTCATAGGCAGTAGTGTGCTATTAGCAGCACCTGATGCTCAAAAAATTATTAAGTGCTTTGTATTAAAGTATGTATATGTATGTTCCCTCTGACCAATGGTAGAAAAGCTGCTCTTGGCTTATTCATTCATTGAAAAAATATTGAGCACCTACTTTATATCAGGCACTGTTCTAGTGCTGGGATACAGTGTTAACAAGGCATACACAGACCCTGTTCTCATGGAGTTTACATTTGAATGGAGAAAAACAAAAACAGATAAATAAAATTGGGCATTCCTCTAGACTGGCTAGTGAGAGGTGGCATAAACTGAGACACAAAAGAAAAACACCGGCCATGGCCCTTTCCTACAGTGTCAGAGCTCCTGGAAAAGAGAATTCCAGGAAGGGGGGACACCTAGTATAAAGGCCGTAAGGTTGGAACATAGTGGTTGAAAGAGACTAGTAAGAGATGAGGTTGGAGAAGATAGGCAGGGGCCAGATCACAGAGGGTCTTAAGTATAGTGTTTGGATTTTCACCTAGATTATGAGCAAGGTTGTGATATGTAATTTACATTTTTTAAAGATATTCTTGCTTCTGGATGGAAACTAAATTTTAAGGGGGTTAAGAGTAGAAACAGGAAGACCAGTTAGGAGGCTTTTATGATAATATGCAAGAGGCAGGGTATAGTGGCTTCCACCTGTAATCCTAGCACTCTGGGAGGCTGAGGCGGGAGGATTGCTTAAGCTCAAGAGTTTAAGACCAGCCTGAGTAAGTTAAGATCCTGTCTCTACTAACAATAGAAAAATTAGCCATGTGTTGTGGCATGTGCCTGTAGTCCCAGATACTTGGGAGGCTGAGGCAGGAGGATCTCTTGAGCCCAGGAGTTTGAGCTTGCTGTGAGCTATGATGGCGCCACTGTACTCTACCTGGGACAGTGGAGTGACACTCTTTCTCAAAAAATAAAAAACAAAAACCTAAACAAGAGATGATGGTGGTGGACTAAGGGGGTAACAGCGAAGATGGAAAGACTCTAGATACCAGATTTGATGGTGGAGTCAATAGAATTTAGCACTATTGGATTGGATGAGGGGAAGAAGAGTCAAGATCTAGATTTTTGGCTTGAGCAGCTGGGTGGATGGTGGTGTCATTTATAACATGGAGAAGCTTCTGGGAGAAGGAACAGATGTAGGAGAGAAAATCAGGAGTATTCTAGAAGACAAGTAGTTGATTAACAAATATTTATTGGCCTATATTTCAATAGCTGATAATAGTCTTTCGATATAGCATTATTTTTAGAATCTGAAAATATTTGTATAGCCATTACCAAGAACCTAGTTCTTTTTATACCCTTTTCATTTGTATACAGAGGGATGAATGTGTCTTAGGGAGGTTATTGGTGATCTACAGTTTTTTAAATTTGTAATATTTTTAAAGTTGGAGTCACTGTATCTCTTTCTTTTCTTTCTTTCTTTTTTTTTTTTTTCTTGAGAAAGAGTCTCACTCTGTTGCCCAGGCTAGAGTGCCGTGGCATCAGCCTAGCTCATGGCAGTCTCAAACTCCTGGGTTCAAGCAATCCTTCTGCCTCAGCCTCCTGAGTAGCTGGGACTACAGGCATGCACCACCATGCCCGGCTAATTTTTTCTATATATTTTTAGTTGTCCAGCTAATTTCTTTCTATTTTTAATAGAGATGGGGTTTTGCTCTTGCTCAGGCTGGTCGCGAACTCCTGACCTCAAATGATCTTCCCACCTCAGCCTCCCAGAGTGCTATGATTACAGGTGTCAGCCACCATGTCTGGCCTCTCTTTCTTGAGTGTATGTATGTATATTTACATACTATGTTATTGTACACAACTATTAAAATTTTAGCCAGGCACAGTGGCTGGTGCCTGTAATCCCAGTACTTTGGGAGATGAAAGAAGGAGGAGTTAAATTTTTGACCTATTTTTCCTGGGTGCTCATATGTTTATGTGTTTTTAGTTTCTACTTATATATAATGATTCTCAAATCTACAGTCTCAGTTCCCACTTTCACATTGATTTTTCTTAATTGTATATTTTCACTTGCAAAGCTGAGTTCATTAATCACATACTTTTCTAATTCTAACTTCTAATTTCCATGTCTTTTAGACATGGCTATCTCAAATTATTCTGTCCTTGATCTTAAACATTAAAATCCAACTGATTTTTTTGTTGTTGTTACTAACTTTTGATTGCTCTTTTCTTATATTTCTTTCTAAGTGATTATCTCATGCCTAAATGCTTATTACTCCCACCTTGAACTGAGTATTTTGGAAACTAAGCTTCCTAAGTGATTTCCCTTACCCTATTCTATTTGTTCTAATCTATTTATAAATAACTTGTACAAGTATACTTTTCAATTTTATCCCTCAACTTCCTATTATAGTAAGGCTTTGAGGACATCATTAAAATGTTCTTTTTTTTTCCACTTAATCTTTACGTTTACATTTAATTTTCTTAATAAAAACTCTGTACTCTGGCCAAGGCAATTACTTTGTTGTTGACTCTTAGAACAAAGTCATTTCTATGTTTATGACTTTGGCATGCCATTCCAGGCAAAGGCAGCAGCTATTTCAGGATGTAAAGACATGAAACTGCATATGGTGTGGTTGTTTTTTTTTCCTTTTTTAAACAACACCCACAGTAACACCGCCCCATACCACACACAGTGTCCCACAGCTCTCCGTAAATATTGTCTGACTTAGAGAAATTTTGTTCTTTTAGGATTCAGTGCGCCTTCTAGCTGTGGAAGCTTGTGTCAGTATTGCCCAGTTACTGTCTCAGGATGACCTTGAGGCCTTGGTGATGCCTAGACTTCGACAAGCAGCAGAAGATAAATCTTGGCGAGTTCGCTATATGGTAGCTGACAAATTTTCAGAGGTAAAATTAATGCATTTTAGGTACTAAAGAAAAACAAAAAACCACAGATATGCTGTTGCACTAAAAGTTTCTGAATTAATTCTTTTGGATGTAAAGTGTGTGGCAAAAGTATATACTTGAAAATTGCACTATTTTGTGTTGTTAATTCTTTTGTTAGGATACATTAAAACCTGTATAAATTTCTTTTATAGCTCCAGAAAGCTGTGGGTCCTAAAATCACCCTAAATGACCTCATCCCCGCCTTTCAGAACCTAGTTAAAGACTGTGAAGCTGAAGTTCGAGCAGCTGCTGCCCACAAAGTAAAAGGTTAAAGAGTTCAATTTATGTTTGTGTCATTCATTTTGGTGTATTTTTTTGTGCCAGTGTATTTGGTATTTTTTTTTGTTCTAGAATATGTGTCTTAAATATATAGAGATGATTTTAATATGTGGAAATGCTACATTGTCATACAAAGCCTTCCCCGTTTCTATTTAAAACCAAACAACCATTTTTTCTTATTTCTGTTAAAAAATGCTTTTTCAGGTTGGATTGATATAATATGCAGTGGCATAAAGATTGATGAAAAATTGCATTTAGAATAAGATTCATTTCCCCCTTAGAGCTTATTTGCTTAAACATATGATTTGATTTAACTTGCAACTATTGATACACCTGGTGCAGTGTCCTCATTTGGCACTTCTTAAATGGCTCTGTGAAAGCATTATTTTTTCTATTTCTCTCTTTTAGAACTTTGTGAGAACTTGCCTGTTGAAGGTAGAGAGACCATAATTATGAATCAAATTCTGCCCTATATAAAGGTAAACCTAACTTCAGTTTATTTTGTTTCACTTTGCCCAATATGAAGATAAACCTTACCTCATTTTTTTTTTTTGCTTTACTTTAAAGCTCTTTGAGTTTAAAGGTGGACATGGGATCAATGAGGCAGATATGTTAATGTATGAAATTGTTATTTATTACTTATTAGTGCCTGTTACAATTGTAAAATGGTTTTTAGTGCATAGGTTTATGCTACCTAACAACTGGCCTGAGGAAGCATCAACTAATCACAATTGAAATAGTGCCGTCTTGAAATTCTTTGGGAGATGGTATGGAAGTTTGTGTTATCTTGCAAGAAAGAAAAGCTTTTAATTTTGATTTTATTTTAGGAATTAGTATCTGATACCAATCAACATGTCAAGTCAGCCCTAGCTTCTGTAATTATGGGATTATCTACCATTTTGGGCAAAGAAAATACCATTGAACATCTTCTACCTCTTTTTTTAGCTCAGTTAAAGGATGAGGTGAGTCTGGCTATACATTTTGTTGTCTGTGATAGTTGGTATGATTTGATTTTGATTTGGAGTTTCACTAAAATAGGACCAAAATGTGGGAGTAGATAAAAATAACATAACTTATTTTAAACTAGTGGCAATCCCTAAGTTTGGATATGGGTTACACACTTACCAGAAAATGGGCACAAGGAGCCATTGAGGCAAACCTAAAAATGTCTATCCATCCTCTCTGCCTGATTTTTCCTTCATATTCCGTGGTTCCTTATCTTTGAAACTAATGTATCTTGGTTTTAAATTTTTTTTTTTAATTTCAATAGATTTAGGAGGTACAAATGATTTTTGTTACAAGGATAAATTGTATAGTGGTGAAGTCTGGGCTTTTAGTGCACCCGTTATCCGAATAGTGTGTTTTGTAACCAATAAGTAATTTTTTATCACTCACCTCCCTCCCACCCTCCCCTAAAGGTTCTTTTATTTAAGTTTAAATATAGTTTAAAAAGTTACAATGATAGCTAACATTTATTTAGTAATTACTATATACTGGGCATGATCCTAATTGCTTTGCTCCTGTTGTTACATATAATCCTCACAACAATCTTATGAGGTAGATTTTATTACCCCATTTTACAAATGAGGATTCTGAGACACAGATAGATGTTGCAGATCTGGGATTTGAGTGCATCTAACTTAATTCCAGAGTTTATGCTTTTACCTACCTACAGACTTTTCACTGAAAGTTCTGGTTAAGATCACTTATATTTATGTGCCTTGAATTATTTGGGTACTCTCACCTGAGAGTACTTTCTCATTTTAAAATTTACTTAGCAGTTTTAACCTTATCCTGACAGGAGAATATTGGGTGAGGACATGACTTTTACATGTGGTCTTTTGGGGCTTGTGTACTTACAGTGTCCTGAAGTTCGTTTGAATATCATCTCCAATTTGGATTGTGTAAATGAAGTGATTGGAATCCGTCAGCTCTCTCAGTCTCTTCTTCCTGCCATAGTGGAGCTGGCTGAAGATGCCAAGTGGAGGGTCCGGTTGGCCATCATTGAGTATATGCCGCTGCTGGCAGGCCAGCTGGTAAGTGTGTGTGCTCCACGAATTGCAGGGTAGTATCAAATAGTCCAGTTTCACCGTGGCAAGTAGGAGGCCCAACTAGCCTGAATGGTTATGTTTGTTTAATGTGTGAGAGAATGTGGTCTTGTCCTTGTTGCCTGTAGGGTGGTTTTTATTTTTATAAGTGCATAAACATCTAACAAAAAGGTTCAAGTTGGGTATCCCTTATCTGAAAAGCTTGAGACTAGAAGTGTTTTGGATTTCAGATTTTAGAATATATGCATTATACATGCTTACTGGTGAAGCATCCCAAATCCAAATATCTAAACTCTGAAATGCTCCAATGAGTATTTCTTTTGAACGTCATGTCAGCACCCAAAAAGTTTTGGATTTTGGAGCATTTCAGATTTCAGATTTTTGGGTTTGGGATTTTCAACCTGTATAATAGAAACACATTTCATCTCACCACCACCTAAAAACAAAGCCACACCTAAAAACAAAGCCATAAAAGAATATGATCAGTTTCTTGGTATATATAACATAGATTTTGTAATATTTAATGTTTCTATAACTTAAGGAATATTTAACTGAAAAGGAAAGGAAGTATGGTTTCAAGGGAAGTCTGCTTTGATTTTTGCTTAAGGCAGCTTCTCTTTTTGCCTGTTTTCTGAGTAAAAATGTCCCTAGAATGTTCATATATTCTGATTAAAGGGAATTGAAGAATCACCATATAGAAAAGGAGTATTAAAGCTTATAATGTTAATATTTTTTTTTGTTTTGAGACAGTCTCACTCTCTTGGTAGGTTAGAGTAACGTGGCATCAGCCTAGCTCACAGCAACCTCAAACACCTGGGCTTAAGCAATCCTCCTGCCTCGGCCTCCCAACTAGCTGGTACTACAAGCTTGCGCCACAGTGCCCGGCTAATTTTTTTTTCCTATTTTTAGTTGTTTGTCTAATTTCTTTCTATTTATAGTAGAGACAGGAACTTGCTCCTGCTCAGGCTGGTCTCAAACTCCTGAGCTCAAGCAATCCTCGCGCCTCAGCCTCCCATAGTGCTAGGATTACAGGCACGAGCCACCGCGCCTGGCCTATAATGTTAGTATTTTGACCAAAGTCCACATTATCTATTTGAGTTTCATGATTAGTTTTACTCTGATACCACATTAATTAAAATTTCAAAGATGGGGTTTATAGCCATGTCCTTTTTTTTCTTTTTTAGTAGGTGCTCTAGACAGTTATTTTATTTTATTTTTTTTACTTTTTAAAAAAATTATGTATTTCTACTTTAAAAAAATTTTTTTATTTAAAAAAAATTTTTTTTACTGGTCAAGTAAAGCATTGGACATTTAAAGTTTATTTATTTTTGAGACAGTCTTGCTTTGTCACCCTGGGTAGAGTACAGTGGCGTCATTGTCATCGTTGCTCACTGCAGCCTTAAACTCCTAGGCTCAAGTGATCCTTCTCCCTCAGCCTCCCAAGTAACTGGGACTACAGGCATGTACCACTATGGCCACCTAATTTTTCTATTTTTATTACTGGCTAATTTTTCTACTTTTAGTAGAGATGGGGTCTGGCTCTTTCTCTGGCTGGTCCGAACTCCTGAGCTCAAGCGATCCTTCTGCCTTGGCCTCTCAGAGTGCCAGGATTACAGGCATGATGAGCCATCGTGCCTGGCCCACTTTTTAAGTTTGAAATACTCTTACCCCTGTTGGTAGCACTTATTACAGAGTATTTGTAATTATCTGTTATAATCTTGTTGGGGAGATAAACAAGTGATCCCTTTTAGGGCCGGGACTGTGTTCAGGGTTTTATTTCCACTGTCCATCATAGTGCCTGTCATTAATTAGGCACCTAACATTTGTTGATTATTGAACAGATAAATACCTGAATATTTTTTGAGGAAGCTCATGCTATGTCATTTTACTGCTAACATACTATAGTTTGTTTTCCCTGCCTCACCCCCATTTCCATTCCTTTCAGATCAGAGCATATGGGATTTCTTTATTTTTCTTGGACCACTGAACTTGTGTTGCTAATTCAAGAAATAGCCAGGAAACATGTGTCTTGTGGATGTCTGGCATTACATGTTTTATAAAATTTGAAGTGTCCCATTCTTCAAAATGAATGCCAAAGATAAAAGTACATCACTAATAAGGTCATCTAGTTGTCATGTCACCCTTTTCCTTTGTCACTCCCAAATGCTGTGGATCATCTTCTCTTCACTGGTGACTGTCATGGATCAATCCTCCAGGGTGGAAAGCAGCAGTGGGTAACTGGTTTGCTGAAGACTGAAACAAATGTCCAGAAGGGAGGGTGAATTTTAGTACCATTTCTTTCAACTTCTGCTCCTTCTAGACCTGGAAAGTCTCCAAGGGTTGCTAGCTATACAGAGCAGTATGGAAGCAAACTAGGTGATGCCTTTGGTTGACTTACTACCAGTCTGGTAGGGATACTATTCATGCCTCAGTCATGAACATTTTGTTTTGTAATTTAACCTCTTGTTAGTATATATTGTCTCCTTATTTTTTCTTTATCTGTAAAGACTTTTCTATCAAATAGTCAATTTATAAAATTTTCTTTCTTTCTTTATTTTTTTTATTTTGTTTATTTACTGGACCTTCAGAGTTATTTTTTTCCTTTTCTTTCTTTTTTTATTTTATTTTTTTTTATTTTGATATTTATAAAATTCTCTCAAGACTATGTATGGCCTGATTTGTGGACCATGGTGAGTAAATGTGAAGTTAAACCACAAAAAATTGGAAAATAAAAGTTAATTAAGACTGAAGGAAAAACCCTCCACCTAAAATGAAAAAGATATCTTTGAGAGCTGACATGGTAATCTAAATGTATGGCAGAACTTGTGGTTATAATGATCTGTTTATATAAAACTATTTAGTCATATTCTGTCACTATTTTTGAAGCATTATAATGTTATATTAATATTATATCTTTTTATTTAAAGTATATAATCACTGGATGGGAACTTCTTATAATTCAAAGAAGCAAGAGTGTAAACATGTACATTCCAGAAAGGAGGCACTAGGAAAGTACATATCACAGCGTTTCCCCACATGCTGCACAAGTCCCAAGGCTGAGAAGTCTTCTAAAATCAGCTCCTGGAGCTCATCTCCAGCCTGTGCTGAAGTGGCTACCTGTTGACAGTCAAAAGGAGCAGGGCTAGGGGAGCCAGGACAGTTCTGTGCTCCAGGTTCTACCTGTGACTCCGTGCTGGTGTTGCTTCCCCTGTTGTGTTACTTTCCCTCCAGTGCTTTATCCTAGCGTCCCAGAAATACTCTCTTTAACTGGGGATATCTCTGTGTCTTGATGTCAGTTGCTTCATTTTTAAGGATTTATTATGATATTAACCAAAAAGGGAACATAATTGGCAATTATTAATATTATTGACAGATATTTTCATTTTTACAAATAATCTAGATTTTACTTGGCTGACCACCCACACTGCATTCTTCTTATTCTTCTGTAGTATTGTATCTGGCTTCTGGCCACTCTGTTCTTTCCTACTTATTAGCAGGGCCTGTGCCATCTCACTTATGATTTTCTTTGTTTATATGATTTCTCTCCAATAAAATAGATTTATAGTTTGTTTGTAAATCCAGTTACATTTCTTTTCTGGCTGTCTCATGAATTCAGCTTCTTTTGGAAATGAGTGGGTTTTTTAGCCTTCAGGTAACCTTGGTATAATATAGTTAGATCATCTTGGTTTCTAAACTTTGGAGATGTGTATTAATAGAATCTTCTGTATCCATAGGGTGTGGAATTCTTTGATGAAAAGCTGAATTCTTTATGTATGGCCTGGCTTGTGGACCATGGTGAGTAGATAAGTTAAAAATAGACTATTATGGAAAACCTATGATTTTGCTTATGTCCCATGATGTTCATATGTTTCCTTTTTCAAAAAGAATCCCAGTCCAACCAGATATTTGCCATAAAGTCCAGTCCTCTGAATAAAAATTTGACGTTTCTACCAGGTTTTTTATCTTAAATTTTATTTTATATCTGTCTCTTTGCCCTGTTTCTTATTCTATTACATCATCTTCACAGTATCTCTTTTATGCATCTCCTTACTCCTTCTTTATTCCAGGATCTTGTTTGACCATGGCATTATTGGTTTCTTCAACTATAGACTAGGATGGAGAAGTATTGGAGATAGATGAAAGGCCTGGGTTGGAAGAAGTGGCTACTTGGCTTTTTTGAGGTGACAGAGAAAATCATATACAGTGGGACAGTACAGGATTCTTAGGAAACACCAGCTGTGCCCTAGGATAGAGAGGGTCTGGATTTCTGGTTTTAGTGAAAGGAAGGCTTCCTGCTTCCATCCTGACTAACAACTGCTACATTGCTAGGACAGTACGAGCTCAGGGCAGGTAGGTAGGACAGCAGGAATGAGCAGTGACTTTCTGGTGAGGTCTTGGATAGCTGTATACCAGCCAGCAGTGGGAAAACGAACCCTCTGCACCAGCTCCCAGGTCCAGACTTGGCAGCTTCAGTGTAGCCTTGGACCTGTTCTGATAAGTGCCACTGAGGGCTCGTGTGACATTGTCCTTGAGCATTGGTTCCATATTTTGGTGGTGGATACAATAGGAATCGTGTTTCAGTTCCACAATCTTACATATACTTATGTATGTATTGAGTATATTTCTTTGTTCATCTGTGGGCATTTATGCTTGCATATTTGGGAAGAATGAGGATATTTGGAACTGGTTATACATATAGGTGGTTTTGTTAAAGGCCTATTTGTATCATATGATAGGTAATATGATTAAGTGTGAAGAGGAAACGTGTGAAAAAGTATGTGAAACTCTACAAGGGCTTACATATGTGAATATTTCCAGTGATTTCAAACTACTATGAAGATTTCTTTCTTTTTTTCTTCCCTAAAGTTACCTGTTCATGTCCTATTATTTTTTTCTTTTTAAATAAAACTTAAATTTGGCAAATCATGGTAAAGAAAGTCTTTTTTTTTTTTTTAAAACAAAATGTTTATATGATTTCTGATAAATAGTTAGTGGGAATGGCACATCCCAGCAAATCAGTCTATACTTTTTTTGAAAGCTAGATTCTAGATTAAGACTGTTTTATTCTGAGGAACTTTTAAAGTACAAACATTCCACAAAGAATTAAATTCCTGTTACCCTTTCTCCTTTCTCTGTAGGATTGTACTCTCTATGCAACTTAATTACTCCTTTCTTTTTTCTGATTTTTTTTCTTCCAGTTTGAGAGCAGTAGAGACCCTTGTTTGTTTCACTGCTAATGTGGGGACTGTGAGCATTTTTTGAACCAGTGAAATGGCAGCTCTGAAATTGTTCTATGCTTAATTAATCACAGGGGCTTTTTGTTGTTCTTTTGCTTTTGCATTTTATTTATTTATTTATTTATTTATTTATTTATTTATTTATTTATTTATTTATTTTTGAGACAGAGTCTCGCTTTGTTGTCCAGGCTACAGTGAGTGCCGTGGCGTCAGCCTAGCTCACAGCAACCTCAAACTCCTGGGCTCGAGCGATCCTTCTGCCTCAGCCTCCCGAGTAGCTGGGACTACAGGCATATGCCACCATGCCTGGCTAATTTTTTATATATATATCAGTTGGCCAATTAATTTCTTTCTATTTATAGTAGAGACGGGGTCTCGCTCTTGCTCAGGCTGGTTTTGAACTCCTGACCTTGAGCAATCCGTCCGCCTCGGCCTCCCAGAGAGCTAGGATTACAGGCGTGAGCCACCTCGCCCGGCCTGCTTTTGCATTTTAGATAAGCAGTATATAGTGATCACTGATCAGAGTTTTTGAAACTTTTTCTCCTAGTTGTTAAACTAGTAAAAGAATGTTGTGAAAAATCCAGGGAAGTATAAGGAAGAAAGTATTACCTATATTTCTGTGGTTGAGTGGACAGTATTAATCAGAGGGAGGAATTTAGAAGGGGAATTTGTTTTTTATACGAGAAAGTATCAAAGTTAGCATAGAGTGAGGTAAATATTAAAAAAGCCTTGCAAGTCAGCCAGACCTTGGGGAGAATGGGAGAGAGAGAGAAAGAGAAAGATAAAACAAGGAGAGAAAACAGGCAGAACTGTGGAATGGTTTGCATTCTTTTGACAACAAAATTGAGAGGAGCCAAGAACATAGTAGGCATCTGGCCAAGTAGAGTTTAGGGCAGCTAAGGCTTTGTTCAAGGCTGAGCAGGTGTGTGCCGACTCTCTGGTTACTCTGGCAGTGACCTCCCTTGCTATGTGGCATGATGATAAGAAAAAACTCAAGCGTATTAAAAAACAGTAATTAGAGAGTACACATGCTTTAGCTAGCCTCATCTTAAGGGGAAGAGAGGATGGGAGTTGGGTCCAAGACAAAGACTATAATGTGAAGGGAAAGAATCTGTGCTACAGGTAAAAAATAGTTGGCTTTAACTTGCTCTGTAGAGAGTGCTTCTGGGTATTACTGCTGGCTTGTTTCTTCCTTAGACTGGTCAATTTAAGTAAGTGTTGGTGATAAGAGGTATTGTTACTCATCTTTGCTGTCTTGCCTGTTCTTCTCAACATCATTGCCCAGAAGGATCCATGGACTGGGAAAAACAAATAATTCTTGTCTAAAGGTGTGTATAAATTGTCTAGGATTGGGACTGTCGCATGGGTAGCTATTCCTGACCTTCCTGTTGATAATCCAGGAGGACTGGATCCACCTGATGAGAGAAGTGGAACACAGTATCAGTACCTACCACCCTTGATTTATCTAAGCCCTGATTCTGAGTCTTTCTGGTTCTGAGAAGTGACACCAGGCTTGTCTTTGTTCATTGCTGTATATAGCAACTAATTGTGAGAAGATGGTAGCTCAGACCTTTATTATCTATTATTCTTTTTTTTGTTTGTTTGTTTGTTTGTTTTGTTTTGTAATCTTTTTATTTTTTATTTTATTTTTTTAATTTTTTTTTTATTTTGGCATATTATGGGGGTACAGATTTTAAGGTTTCAATAAATGCCCATTTCCCCCCCTCTATTATTCTTTTTGATAAATGATCTTGTACGGCATTATTAGATCTTAAGGCACATTTATTCACAAAAGACATTTGATGTCTTACCTCAGCCTAAACGTTTATTTATTTATTTTTTTAGACAGAGTCTCACTTTGTTGCCCAGACTAGAGTGAGTGCTGTGGCATTAGCCTAGCTCACAGCAACCTCAATCTCTTGGGCTCAAGCAATCCTTCTGCCTCAGCCTCCCAAGTAGCTGGGACTACAGGCATGCGCCACCATGCCTGGCTAATTTTTTTTGTATATATATTTTTAGTTGGTCAATTAATTTCTTTCTATTTTTAGTAGAGAAGGGGTCTCGCTCAGGCTGGTTTTGAACTCCTGACCTCAAGCAATCCGCCTGCCTCAGCCTCCCAGAGTGCTAGGATTACAGGTGTGAGCCACCACACCCTGCCAGCCTAAACGTTTTTAATGGAGAAGTAGCAAGTCGGTCTATAGTTTTAATTTGCCCTTGTATAGATGAACACAGTGTCCTCTACACAGTCTCCTGGATGTCTTTCTCCACTCATTGGTCTTCTGTTTTTATATTCCTTTCTTTTTTTTTTTTTTGGAGATAGAGTCTTGCTCTGTTGCCTGGGCTATAGTACTGTGGTGTCAGCCTAGCTCACAGTAACCTCAAACTCCTGGGCTCAAGCGATCCTTCTGCCTCAGCCTTCTGAGTAGCTGGGACTCATCCGTCTTCTTGATGCTGCTTGAATAATTTTGCTTAAATACCACATTGGCCATTGGGTCACATGTTGGCTTTAAAAATCCATCAATGTTTTTCTCATCAGGTCTAAGTTTAGCTTTCAAGATACTCTGTAGTCTGCATCCGCAGACAGTTGTCTAACCTTAAAGTCTCACGGGTTTCAGTTTTTTCCTTTGTGTCCTGGGTACATTTTTCTATCCTTTCCAGGAATTACTCCCCTCTTCTCTCTACTTACACAAATCCTCCCTAGTCTTCACTGCCCAGTTCAAGGTCTGTTTCTTTCCTGAAGTCTTCCCAGACTTCCCTGTTCATTCTTCTCTGCAGTCTACACTACACAGTACCATACTTCATTATAATTCATTATAATTGGGCTAATACCATGTGACTTCTCAAGAGTGCATTTGCTTTAATTTCTCTGATAAGAGTACATGACCTCTGAGGACAAGTATCTTTTTTTTTTTTTTTTTAAGAGACGGAGTCTTGCTCTGTTAACCAGGCTGGGGTGCAGTGGTAGAATCAAATCTCACTGTAACCTCCAATTCCTGGGCTCAAGAGATCTTTCCCCCTCAGCCTGCCAAGTAGCTGGGACTATAGGCACGTGCCACCACATCTGGCTAATTTTTCTTATTTTTTATAGAGATGGGGTCTTGCTATGTTGCCCAGGCTGGTCTTGAACTCCTGGCCTCAAGTGATCCTCCTACCTTGGCCTCCCAAAGTGTTGGGATTATAGAAGTGAGCTACTGTGCCTGGCCTGTATTCTTTTTGTAACAAGTAGCATGCAGTAGTCATACATATTTGTTAATTAATTAACGATGCATATATTGAGCTCCTTGCATCCCTTGCCTTGGATGTATACATTTTGAAACTATAACAATAATAAATTAGTGTATTATGCATCATGGCTGATCATGCTTGTCATTGCCATATGAGTCTATGTGGAGTGTTTACAGAGAGGTTTTGTTTTTAGTCCACATTTGATGCTGATGTAAGTAAACTAGGTTATGTTTATAAAGTAGTAAGCAGTATGAGACTGTGTTTTTGACCTCTTCTGCAGTATATGCCATCCGAGAAGCTGCCACCAACAACCTCATGAAACTAGTTCAGAAGTTTGGTACAGAGTGGGCCCAAAATACCATCGTTCCCAAAGTGTTAGTAATGGCAAATGATCCTAATTACTTGCATAGAATGACCACTTTATTCTGCATTAATGTAAGTATAACATAGCTGTTATTGCTAAATTCAGGGATTAAAGCAATTGTTAACAACAATTTCTGAATTCTGAATACTATTTTCTCCTTGGAATATATTGCTTATACTGATTAATTTAGATAAGAGATGAGAGAAAATGTCAATTTTAAAATTCATGTTAAAATATATGGTATTATATTAAAAGTTGCAGTTGTGAATTCTGGTCTAATTTTCAGATTCTTTGAATGCTACCTTGTGTCCCTTATTTGGATGCTCAAACTAGAAATATTTTCCTATTGGTCATTTATTATATTTTCTTATTAAATATTAATTTGTCTCATTAGATTTTTGGATTTTTTAAAATAATAAGTGTTTTAAGTGTGCCATCTTATTTGTTTCTCTAGGCACTGTCTGAAACCTGTGGTCAGGAAATAACCACTAAGCAAATGCTGCCCATCGTATTAAAAATGGCAGGAGACCAAGTAGCAAATGTTCGTTTCAATGTGGCCAAATCTCTACAAAAAATTGGACCAATACTAGACACCAAGTAAGATTTTAGTGTTATTCTTGTTTTAAAAGTATATTTTAACTTTACCTTGTAGTGGAGGGTTAATAGCTAAAATTGAGTTCGGTGATTTTTCACTTAAGATCTGGGTTTATTTAAAGAGAATAATAAAGTACTTTAGTAACCTTTTTTGATGATGGCCACTCTGACTTTTCTATTTAAACTCTGTATATGTGTAGATCATTCACGGAAGCTAATTTTGCTGAGAACTTCTTTAGAAATTATTTTGGATATTTGTCAAGTTTATAAGTGTTTTAAAATATTTTTAAAAATTTTAGACTTCAGAAATTACCATAGAGCACATATATCATAAAGGACTTCTCTGGCCCACTAGACTCTGTCACAGGTAATACTTTGAATTTCAGTGCTTTGCAGGGAGAAGTTAAGCCGGTGCTACAGAAATTAGGTCAAGATGAAGACATGGATGTCAAATACTTTGCACAGGAAGCTATAAGTGGTATGTATTTCTGTTTTCTGCCTTGCAGCTTATGTTTTGGTTAACTGAGATTTATCCCTATTATGTGAGTGGTGTTAAGTGGGCAGGGTGGTAAATATTACGGGAGACAGGGAGGGTGGTGAGTTTCTGGAATGCTGGTGCCCTCTTTGTTAGAAACTTCTTGGCCCATCATTCTCTCATAAGTGAATAGGCCATTTTCTCAGTTCCATGTCTAGGACTGGATAGGAAAATGATTGTTACTGGTAAAAGCACTTTTTAGTTTGGATTTTAATCAATTTTTGAAGTTTAACTTCTGGTTTGGCAGAGTAAAGAAAATGACTACAATGAGAAGTTCTTAGTCTCATGCTTTAGGATCATTGTTGTCATGCTTAATATTCACATAGATCGTTCATGAACTTTCTGTACCACTAACCTGATTTTGTTTGGAATTTTCCAGTTCTTGCGTTGGCATAATGAGGAACAGGAGGGAAAAGCCTTTACAAAGTTCTTATCACAGATTTCTAGACATTGTGTTCTTAAACTGGGTGGAGAAACTATGGAAAACCTTCAAGATCTCATCCAAGCAAATGGCAGCAACTTAGAAGAAATCAAATTTCAGTGACTTGATTCTTTAAAAGATGAAATGGGATTGTTTTTTACTGATCTTCCTTGTTGGGATACGTATTTAAAAGCCATTCTTATTAATCAATTCCTGACACTTGGTACAGTCATCTCTTGATTGTGTCCTAATGCTTTATCCGGCACCAACGGGGTTCCTGCATCCTCACTGTTTAATCAGGCCCCAGCCACTTAATATTCTGGACAGAGCCTGGATGGGTTTGGATCCAGAGGTGGAATGGAGTGATTCTTTTGATGTTTACATATATGTGTGTGTGTCTCCATCATTCCATAGTTAAATGTACATGTTTAGGATAACTTCATAAATTTTCTATTTGGGAGATACATTGAGACTTGACTATAGAGAAAACCACATTTTCCTGGATTATGATGGTCTGCATTGGTGTCATGAAACAGGAACGTGGAAGCTCAGGGTTAATGTATTGGTTGTTTTGGTTTTTATTTGCTTGATTTTGACTGTAATCATGTCACTCAGAAACCTGAAGTGTGGATGCATCTTGCTGCTAATGTGTGATGTTGACACTTAACTTAATTTCAACAGCTTACCACCGTGACTGTATTCAAAAATACTTCTCTCTTTCTGGAGAAACTTTTATTTTAGTGCTTCCTAATAAGCAGTAGTTCTACTATTTCATTGTAAGATTGCAGTTTTATATTTCAAATGAGTATAGGAACAGCCACAGGTATAATACTGAGTAGATTTCCTACTCCTCTTGGTTCTGTTTTCAGGAGTCTGGTCCTTGCTACGTTGCTACATTGTACAGTAGCTTTCCAAACTGAAGTTTCTTTGCAAATTTTTTAGTATGGGTGATGCTGGAATCTTATCATTTGAAGTGTTTGTTTTTCTACTTTTACAGTAAAACCTCATTAATTCTGAAATTGAAGATAATGAGTTAACCAGAGGAGTTTACTGAAGCAAATTAATAGCATTTAAGGAAGCAGTTTGAACTACTTAAACAATTTTAAAGCCCTCTTTAAAAAGCACCCATTTACCATGTGATATGCCAAGTACCAGTCTTTTTAATCATATAAGACCTTCCATGAGAATCTGTAGGAGGCCACACCTTTATAAAGATACATTCAGTTTACTCTTTATCCTTCATATATATGTATGTATTTTGTGGAGAAGTTAAATTTTTTTTTTAAATTATTTATATATTTCACCTAATCAAACTGATCTTATCTCTAATGAATTCTAGTTAATGAGGTTTTACTGTAGCTTATTTTTCTCTCTGTGCATCTTGTTATGTAGTTGCTTGTTTTTATTTTAGTTTTTGAATTGCTGATTTCATTCACAACCTCTTAAATCTAGGGAGCCCTGTTCTGTTTTGTGAAGGTCCAAAAGACTCCTATAAAACTTTGTACATTAAATAATTATATAAAACCAAGCTGACTAAATACTTTTAAGTTTATCATACCTTAAAAAAACAGAACAGAAATTTTAAATCAGAAATTATCTGCCTGCATTTTAGACTGCCAAATAACCTTATAGTAAGTTTCCATTTCATGACTTTGGGCCAAGGATTAAATATTTTCCTAAGAAAAAATCTTTTTATACATTCTCATTTTAATGTCTTAAACTATTATGCTATAAACATTTTAAATTTTAGTTTCATGGTTCTTTATTTCTATGACCTGCAAGTTACGTTTCTCTTCATTGAATTTCACATGTGAGAGACTTTGTCTTGATGCTTGAAACCATTTGCATTGGAACCATTGCTTTATTCTTTATTGGAAATGTCATTTTCATTGGTTTGGGGATAGACTTAAGAGGCCCTTGTGTATCCCCCTGGGGTACCCTGTGCATGGACTATTGAAGAGAGAGACAGTAGCTCTTGACTGCTCAAGCATGGGTCATGGAGCTCAGCTGGGGCCCTGTCTTTTGGGGGTCACGGTGAGGAGCTTCATTGTTTGTTTCTGACCTAAGCAATAGGGAATCCCTTTTGTTAATTCTTAAGAATTGTTCTTTGGTTCATTTTATCCATGGATTAGTTTTCCTATCTTGATTTCACTAGAATATAAGCTCTAGGAGCTTTGTAAGGGCAGGGATTTTTGTCTGTTTTGTCTTCTGTATCACCAGCACCTGGAACAGTGTCTGGTATACATAATAGGTGCTCAATAAAAATGTGTTCTATGAATGAATTTCTAAAATATGTCCTCTGGTGTATTGCGTGCGTGGAATAAGCCACCAAAAGTAGCACATTGTGTCTCGTTTTCTCATCGACATAATTAAAGATTTTTCTGCTCTTAGGAAACAAGCTTTATGTGGCCCTTCTCCAGTCTCCTGACTTAGGCAACAGTTCTATGTGGATTTGTCTGATTGCCTTCAGCATACATTGCTGTTGTTTTTCATCCTAGTAAGTTTACATCAATTGTTTGGTTGATTAGGAAAGTAAAGCAGAGACACACACATAAACCTATGCCAATAAAAATGTCTCAGCCACAGTGGAATTCACCTTTGTGTTTCTTTCTACAATTTATGTGGGTTTTACCCCAACAGGTTTAAGAGACCAGATCTTGTTTCTCCATCTGTGCTGCCAAGAAGATGTGAACCTAAAGATACATCTTGTTTCATAAGAAAAAAAGGTTAATATGTGGTGCCTGATGAGGCCTTATTGAAACAATGGGCAGCCCTCTGCTCACAGAAATACCACAGCTTGGCCACCATGATGCAGGGCCCCTGGGGGTCTTTGCTGGACATCTGACTCAACAGAGATGGCAGCATGTTGCCATCCAAGTTGCAAGCATCCAAAGTGCTTGCATAGACCTCCAGGGGAAACAAACATGTCATTCCTGACCCAGTGGTTAAGCTGTGTTAATGCTTTCTTGTTACAGTTTTGTTCCTTTATTAACCGCTGTGTTGTCACTGAACTCAAAGTCTGGTACTTTCCCATAGAAATCACATTGGTTCCATCCCCCCTGAGGATGGCAGGGCAGGGCAGCCAAACAAGTTGGGTGCTTGTCCTATCCTCTTGCCTTCTACTTCAGTTCCTCTGACTTTTCTTTATTGTGACACTCCTATCTTAAAGCCTCTTGTTTCTCCACTGCTTGGATATAAAATTAGAGGGAGAAGGCCCTGTCACCTCATGTTCTTGCCGTAACAGATGAGGTGATTGCCGGCCGGTGTTATGTAATTGTTTCCCTTTGATTCTCCAGTATTTGTTTCCATTCAGTTCCTTGCTCCTCTCTTTCCTATTCCCTCACATGTCTCCAGTCTTCTCTGTACCTAGAATAGTCTGCCTATCCCGTTTGCCTCCACGAGCCTGCTGTTTCCAGGAAATTACATAATGTTCAGTTGAGATGGAAATCTTCTGGAGGATGAAGAGAGTTTAATTACTCATTGCGTAGAAAAGCCAAGCCATTTTTTTCTCCAGAGTTGTTCTCTTAGCTGGTATTATTAGTTCTGAAAGGAGCTGGGTCTTTTTTGTCTGGTAAGGGTTTTGTAGGTTGTTCATAACCAAGATGTGGGGAAGCACCCTGCTGGGCACCATGAGGCCCCGTGGGGCAGCACTCCGTATGACTTCTGAGGGAAAGGCACCTTAGATAGGGTCCTGAGTTGAACCAGTTTTCTCTGCCCAGGGGCCTTGTCCTCGTAGGTTGCTGGGCTTCCCATCCTGGTGCTAGAAAACCGAGGGTATCCTGGCCAGGAGTTACAAGTGGGCTGGGGAGGGATGTGCCTGGTCAGGGACAGTTACAGCACCACTGTCTGTATCTCTAGTGGTGGCACAAAGGCTGAGGAAGCTAGATTTTCCTGTGAAGGACAGTGAAACGCCCAGCACCCCTGGGGCTGAAAAGAACCACTTCCTGAGACCCAGAGTACCTGGAGAGGACACTGGGAAGGTAAGTGCTTCAGAAGCCCTGAGGGCTGAGGGCAGCCAGTGTGGCCTGGTCCTCAGGGAGATGCAGCGGGATAGGCAGAGGAGCAGTACCTCTTACCCTGTCCCCAAGGGGACAGCCCATTTTAGGGGCCAGGAGGGTATATTTTTGAAGCCAGTTGCTCTGTTTTGCTGTCTGTATTATGGGAATACTGTATGAGGAGTGGGCTCGATGTCAGAACTCTTGTCACTTCTGTGGCTCGAGCGAGGTCTATCCTGTCATCTCACCACAGTCAGAGAGCAAGCCCAGGAAGTAGACAGAGGTGCTTATAGGCAGGGGCTACTTCCATTTTCCTCAGTATATAGAAAGTGATTTGCTACAGTTCTTTTCAGGTAGTTATTTCTATTCAAGATAAAAATGATTTCTGTCAAGTTTTTCTGTGTAATAGTTCAAATGTTTTATAAGCCCCATTTGATGTCACTCTGCAGGGAGAAGGTGTACAAAAGGTTCAGGTCAGCAATCAAAGTTGGTGCTGGCCACTGCCCAGGGCCATTCATCAGGAGGTGATTTATGATTTACAGATGCATTCAGAAAAGGAGCACGGAGAGGCTCAGCCTCCTCGTGCTGATGTCAGGCTGCATTTAGTTCACTGGAAGAATTTGGCAGTCTCACACCCACTCCAGTGGGTTCGCTTAGTCAAAATTCTGACATCAAAAAGTCTGCCTTTGAAATCTCATGGCTTTTCATTTTATGTGAACGGAGGCCACAAAAACGATTTTCCCTGTCGTCCAGGCCCTGAACTGCAGTCATGTATCTTAGAACGTTCTCACCTTCCTGCCGGGCTGCACACTGTTGTCCTGGCAGCTCCAGCCGATCCTGCAGTGGGCTGTGTGGTGGGAGGAAGGGCAGGTGACTGTGCTGGTAGCCTCGGCAGGCCCAGGACCCTGACAGACAGATGCCTGACGTGGCCAGCCCTTCACGTCCTCACATCCACTTCATAGAACTTGGCCTTAGGGAAAAGAGCTTGGCTGAAAGAGCAAGATGGTGTTATATTTTTCAGACCTAAACCATAGACTTAAAGGAGAAGAAAAGAGTTATGTTTTCCTACAAATTCAGGGCCAACTCCTCATGCCATTAAACGCATGGTATGCACCTGACACGAGTGTGGAACGTTGAGGTGGCCTCCCCACGGCCGACTTGCTCAGCTCTGATAAGGCCCCTGGCTGGGCCTTCCACAAGCTGAGGACACAGTATCAGCTGCCATTCCTTGAGCTGTGCAGCACCTTTTCAAGCACTTGATCAAATCTCATTTAATCCTCACAACAACCCTAGGTGGTAGGTGCCGTCATCTCTGTTTTTCAGGTGGTCGTGAATCTCCCCCAACTATGTTGTATCTATTTGGGACTCTTCCAGGAATGGAGGCTTGGTGGTGCTAGGCCTGTGAGGCTGTAGCTCATTTAATCCAGAAAAATCCTCTGCCTGGTGACTCAGGGAGCCTTCCCTGCATTTGTTTCACTTAAGGAAAATGACCTGAGGGTGAGATGGAAAGGGAATTGGCTGTTGCCAGGCAGAGCCCTTCATGTCAGGGGCCAGCAGCCAAGTGAGTGATCCAGGAAGTCATCCAATTGCAAACCAGAAATCGTCCTTAACCCCTCACTGTCTGCGGTGCGTAGCAAACTCGCCAATCCGTCCAAATGGGGTAAGGGTGAAGGCCTAGCTGTGGAGAGCCCTGGGAACTCTTCTCAGTCCTCAGGTAGCCTCAGGGCCCTCAGGGAGCCATTTGACGCTCCAGGCTGGGCCTGCCACCACTAGGTCCAAGAGAAAATGGCCCAAGGGGTGAGAGCCAGTTCCTCTTGGTGAGGCGTGCCTCCTTGGCACCCTTGAAGTCTGCAGAGGTGTCTGTGTGCTGGATGTCGCATGTGTCCCCCCATGTGGGACCTGCCAGGGAGCACCGTGAGCCACCTCCTACACCCTGCTCTGCCGCTGGGTGCTTTCTGGCAGAGTTGCTGGCAGGCCTCTGTCAGACAAGGGTTAACAGGGGATTTGTTTATTGAATCACGAAGTAGCTGTCACATGATTTTAATCAAAACACCATTTCCCTGACAACAGTGATGTCAGTCTTGTTATTGCAGGAAGGAGCAGCTGTGAGGGACATTCAGTCTCCATGCCGAGCCCAGGTTTGGAGACTAAAATCAAGTAAAGCACCCATAAATAATGGTTGCAGGCACTGACTTACTGAATACACCCTCCTCTTCCTTTTCTTCTCTCTCTGTCCAGACGGTTTGTCCTGCACACACGCTGACCATAGGCAGCCCCTGCACCCTGAGTCTCAGCCCAGACCTCACCTTCTGTGTCCCTTGTTCCTTCTACTCTTGCTCCTACTTCTGATTTTTCCTCTTTTTTTTTTTTTTTTTGACACAGGATCTTGCTTGGTCACCCTGGCTGGGGTGCAGCGGTGTGGTCATACTGCTGCCTTCAACTCCTGAGCTCAAGTGATCTTCCTGCCTCATCTTCCAGAGTTGCTGGGAGTGCAGGCACACACCACTGCACCTGGCTCCGTTTTCTGTATTTTCCCCAAACCCAGAGAGTCACTTGGGCCCCCAAGGTCTCTGGCCTGTGCCTTCTGGCATCTGTCTCTTCCTTGCATCTAAACCCACTCTTGCTGGGGAACCAGGCTGTTCTGGCCAGCCTGAATTAGGGACCATCCCGCCCCTCAGTTACCTTGGCCTATACTGGAGCCAGCTTCCTGGAGCAGGGAAGGGTATGCTTGTCCGTGTCCTTCCAGATACAGCAGGTTGGGGTGCCCAGGTGCTGTCCTGAGAATCTCAGGGCAATCTGAGGAGCTCCTCAAGGGCCTGAACTCTGGTCCAGAGGATTAGTTCTCTCAAACCCAGAAATACTACAGGAGGCCGAGTTCAACCTGAGGACTGACAACAAAAACCAAAGCCTAAGGACACTTGATCCCATCCCCAGTAGCCTCCATCCAGCTAAGAGAATTGGATCCCGAAGTCCACCAACACATCAGAAGTAGGCTGGTCACAGGACCTGCTGGAGCAGTGTCCTCAGGCTCTGGCCTCCTTTCGGTGCCTTCCCCACTGTGGGGCTTGCAAACTGAGCAGCGGTCTGCACGGGGAGGCTCCCCCAGGCTTTCCAACCCTTCTCCACCCAGGAGTTTGACCTAAAAGTTGGAGATGAAAAAGGCCTCCAAGCTAGCTGGGACATAGATTCTTAAGGATGTTCTTATGTTTGTGGTACCCAAGGGCCGGTGCTACCCAGAACTCTTCTGAAAATTCAGAAATCCTGGGTCAAAGTTCTTGGTTCTTAACTTGGAACAGGTGGTCACAATAGGACAACCACTGTTACATCTGTGAAGAGAGATTTCCCAGGCAGCAAGCAGCCATTTTCTACGTCCAGTGTTGGGAGAGTCAAGAGTTGAAAGAAGACAGGCAGGATGAGATACTATGACAAGCCATTCGGGCAGACTGGAGAAGTCTTCATGTTAGAGAGCTGTGCCATGCCAGGCTGCATTTGGACCTCATGATAAATGTGGCAGCTAAGAGCCAGGTGCAGTGGCTCACACCTGGAGTCCCAGCTACTCGGGAGGCTGAGGCAGGAGGATCGCTTGAGACCAGGAGTTGGAGGCTGCAGTGAGCTATGATCTTGCTACTGCACTCCAGCCGGGGTAACAGAGCAAGACCCTATCTCTAAAAAACAAAACAAAACAAAACAAAAACCTGAGAGTTAAGTCAGCCAGCCAGTGTTTCAAGTTCCTGTTGGCACTAACAAGCCTTTACAATGATTTGCCCGGGTTAGTGACAGGGCTGAGAGTGCTGCCAGAGGCAGAGGACTTGGTCAGAGGTTCTTTGCTGCCTCCCAGACAGAGAAGGAGCAGGCACCCCCCTTCCCTGGAGGGCCTTCCTGGCCAGGGTGGCTTCTCTCGGGTGGGTGCCTGTGCTCCCCAGCCTTGCTCCTTCCTGGCCCCTTCAGCCCTGTGGTGTTCCCTCCCACTGCCTGCCTGCCCTTTGGCCCTCACTTTGCTGGCACAGGGGCCCCGCTAAACACCTTGGCTTCTCTAGCGAGCAGAAGGCAGTTCTACTGGGCCCCAGACCTGGAAGACAGGGAGGCAGTGACCTCGGAGTCCCTTGCATGGTGTGCTTGTAGGAAAGGCCTTGGTGGCTTTTCTCAGTTCAGTCGCGTCCCATTGCCAACTGTGCAGGTGGCCCTGGGGTGGTAATGACCAACACCTCAGGTTCAGAGTTCTCAGTCTGGCCCCTTTTGGGGCATCTTGGGCCCCCTTATTTCTTGTCTTTGGGGAGTGAGGAGGGAGACCGAGGGAGAGAGTGACTCAGTTTTCCCTTCAAGAGGCTGGATCCCTGATGCTTCATTTCCTCCAGGCCCAAATTTTCTGAACTTTCTGCCCAGGTGGGTCTTGGGGGCTCAGCTCCAGGGAAGCTGGCGTCCCATGGCACAGCGTCTTCCCGCCTCCTTTCCAGGCACTGCACTTGGCCACCCAGCCCAGCACGTGCTCTGTCTGGGCTCAGAACCCGTTCTCTTTGCCAATTTCTGACAGGCTCTGAGTCAGTCGTCCCTAGGAAAGCCCCCTAGAAGAGTGTTCAAAGTGAGGCATCATCAGCAGGAAGGCCTGTGACAAAGACCAGTGGCTGGAAGCACCTAGCAAGCTCCCTGCTCTGGCCGAGGTCTGGCCTCAGTGATTTGCAGTCATAGCGTCACACCCGGGCGGAGGCAGCTATGCCAGTGATGGCTCCATGTCCAAGGTGAGGGCCCAACCCCTTTGTTTCAGTTAAGGCCCACATCTGTCTCCTAAAAGACATTACTTAGGATAATCCATGTACCATATTCCATCCCCTGAGAGCTGTGCAGCTTTTGAAGTCACGGGCTGAGAAGGGCAGAGCTATGCTGTCGTCAGCCTCTAGGGCAGGGCAGCTCTGGGCTGTGCAGGTGGCATTTCCTTTGTAGCCACATAGCACCCAGGATTTAGTACACAAAGCCCAGAACTTCCTTCCAGAGTGTCCAGGGTGCAGGCAGAGTGCGAGGCTCCCTCTCACCTGGGTCCACCCAGGGAGGGATTGGAATCCCCTCAGCAGAACAGGACCCTGTCAGAACCTCAGCTCTGAAAAGCGGGGAAGCTGAGTCGGGGGTCCTTGACCTTGGTCCATGGGTGGGCCTCAGGGGATCCAGGAATCGATACCTCCTGAAATTCTATGTCCCAAGTCGTGTGACTAAGTACATGATATTTTGGAAGAGAGCCCAGTGCTGTTGTCAGCACGTCAGAGGGACTGGGATCCCTCAAGACCTGGTGGGGCAGAAAGGAGCAGCCTCAGGCCCTGTTCGCACACGCCCTGCAAGGAGAGAGGGCTCTGGGCGACTTGGGAAGTGCGTGCAATGCCTGGCCCGGGTGTGGGGAGCAGGGCCTGCGGTCCCCACAGGGTGCAGCCCTGCAGGGTGTCCTGGGGCGCTGCAGACCTGACCAGCCACTGAGGTTCTGGCCAGTCTGTTATGTTTGCCCATACTCTGGGCATTGGGGTTGTTTTTGGCAACATAGAATAAAAATGGAGAAATTTGGTGGGAAAGGGAAAAGTTTGTGAAACATCATTACTGAAATGTAGTGTTTTTTCTTTAAAAAAAAAAAAAAGAAACTCCTTGATACGGAATTCTTGGGCAGTCAAGGGGTACACCGCCGACTTCAGGCAGGACTGAGCGTCCGTGGTGCTGGGCAGCAAGTCAGCTCTGCCTCCTGCACCCTTGCCCCGCAGCCAGCCGCCCATCCTCAGTTCTATAGCATGGTCTCAACCGGAATCGTTTGAGGGAAGCCAAATCCCAGTTGAGCTCCTGCTGCCAGAAGGCAGGATTTAACACTGCCCTTTCACTCAGGGTCTGGCACTGAAACGCCCAGAGTTGGAGAGCAGCTCATCTCAGCAAATGGAATCTCTGGCACCCTGAGGGCGTGGAGTTGGGTCTCAAAAGGGTGCCTGTCCCTGTGAGGGAGTCTATGGTGTGTATGGGCACAGCATGGAGGCCTGGCAGACCCCAGAGATGTGACATTGTGACTAAGTAGCAGTGTCTTTTCCTGGCAGACTGGAGCCCCTCCCCACCGCTGGCCTGCAGCTTGCCTGTCCTGGGGGGCCGGACAAGAGCCTCAGGAGCCTGCTCCCCTCCTACCCAGGCTACCTGGGCTGATGGGCCTTGCCCTGAGACTCTGGAAAGCAAGGAACAGTCGTTAGGCAGTGCCTAGCGGGGCCCTGTCCCCGGCAGGCTGTGGTGAGCAGTGCTTCCGTCAGCGATCTGCAGTGGCCAACGTGTACTCAGGCGATTCAGAGCAAGGTATTATTTACCCTGCTGACGTCAATGAGAATATATTATCCACTGTCCTTTTCTGCAGCCTGAAATGAGCACCAGAGCTCAGAGAACACAGCCACCTTCCACACTTTTAAAATTCCACCCAAGGCCCTATCTCATTAACCTGGCATTCATATCACCCAGGCTCTTAGAAAACAAGTTGTTTTTATTTTAATTCAAGAGGGTTGGAAACATAAAAACAGTACATTTTCCTTGCAGAAAATTACCCCATTTAAATTACCATTTGGTACAAAGATCATTTATTACACTGCATTTTAGGCAATTCTCTAACATTGAGTGACAGGTTACACTTTGATTTTTTTTCACATTGGAGCTATTATGATTTGCACTCAAAATACCAAAGCTATTGAACTCACCAATTTTTTTTTTTTAGTAATTTAAAAAAAACACAGAAAAAATAACTACAATTAGGTTAACTTTATGAAAAGTAACTCTTTCACAGACCAAACATCCAGCAAAACCACCCACCTCCCTTCAGAAATAAGCAATAATCTTGCCCTCCCTACAAAGTGCAAATATCTCTGTATCCCTTTTATTTCTTAAACTGCAGTCCCCGAAGTGAAGCAAACTTCCTGTTCTCTCTGCTTCTTTCCCCTTCAGAGATTTTGGTGAAGGCAGATTTCTTTTACCAGTAGTAGTGGGAAGATCTCACCACTTGAATTTCCTTGACTGAGCAAATCTTGAGCAGATAGGCATCACACAGCCAGCGGCGAGGCCCAGTTATCTGTATTTACTAATGTAACATTATTCCATTTGGGGTCATATTTTTCCAGGATGTTGTTTTGTACTTCTATTTTTAAAGCTCCCCCCTACCTACCAGCTTTGGCTCTGAAAAGAAAAAGTATTCAATAAAGTATGTTATTTTTTTTAATCCTAAAAGTGTCTAATAAGCACTTTTACTTGATGGGATTGACTGTAAAGAAACGTTACTCCCCTCCTCAGGACAAAGGCTGAGTTTGTGACTCTTCTCTGAGCAGCCCCTTTTCCTAGGGTTGAATCTGGTGGCCTGCAGTGGTGGCCTGACACCATGCAATTCAGCTCCTTGGCAATCCAGGGGGATGTGTCCTTCCATCATATAATTCTATAGGAAACTATTTTGTGTAACTTGGAAAAACTAGACATCTTTGATGCGAGCCTAAACTTCTGTAGTTAACTGGACACTGAGAGGATGGCCGATCTGTGGGGTCTGTGTCTCCCTCAGCCTTGTTCCATGCAAGGCCACCTGGACAACTGCAGTGTCACCTGAAAGGCACCTCCCCTCCAAAGCCAGGCAGCTGTCAAGTGGAGAATGAGGCTGTGGGAACAATGTCACATTCACCCTGTGCTTGACTAAAATGGGGGCTTTGTTTATACAGCTGTTCGCTTATGAAAAGAGTCAGATGGACGGGGAAAGGGAGGGCTTCTCACACAACGAGAAGCTAGAGAACCCAAACCAGAAGCAGTCAACCCAAGTCCTTGTCCTGGGCTCCTCCACTCGCCAGCTCTGTGACCTCGGATAAGTCACACAAACTCCCAAGAGCTTTGGTTTCCTCAGCTGTGAAAAATAAGGACGATAACTTTCCAGCTAATTTCACAGAGTTGTTGTGAGGATTTGAAGAGATTACTTGTGAAAGTGCTTGGTAAACTCACGTATAAATATAAGCTATTGCTCCTTGTGGACAGGCAAGCCATTGGGTGGGACCCATCGAAACTCTAAGTCTATGGGCTGTCCTGCTGCCCGTTTCTCAATCTATGCACTAGTATGTGCCCCAATCTGCCAGCGTGTTGAAATCTGCCTAGAGGTGTGGACAAAAGATGGTGGTGCAACTAGGATGGCGTGAGTCTTCCAAAGGCAGCCAGGCTACTTGATTGGGAAAAAATGGTAAAATAAGTATGTGAGAGGGTACTGGGAGATCAGAGACTCCAGGCCCAAAAGGGGCCTGGAGTTGACCCTGCTGCTGACAAGGGGCAGACAAAGAGCTCTGTAATTACAGTCGCTTCCCTGGGCCACAGGCCTGGGAGGACCATACTATGGAACCCGTCAGAAGAGATATATAAATTTTTAAAATGTTTTTTTGTCCAGCTTAGAACAGAGGCAGATGATACTGTTCTTGTCTTCCACACATCATTCTGAAGATAAGTTCTGTAAAAAAAATTTCCAGAAGTAACAAAATGATCAAAGTTCCCTGCCTATACAATGACTCCAACTTACTGCTTGTTCTCCAGTTTTTACCTTTGATGTCTAGGCACAAAGAGACCGAGCGGCTCGGGTGGCTTCCGAGGAGGCAGTAGAGGCAGCCCAGTTTAGGGGTACAGATGCAGCCAAGGTCAGCCCCGGCACAGGGATTCAGCAACTGTTCAGTGGGACCAGTGTTGGCAATGACACTAAGTATTGTCTCTGAAGGACGTTGAATGTGAAAAAGTTACATGGAATATGAATTTTCTTTAAGCCAATAGGGAGCTTAAGTGTAACTGTCGATAGTGGCTTTTAAATGTAATCCAGAGTAGAAAAACTCTGACCCCAATATATTTATGAATCTGGGGCTGGACTAGAGGCTGCAGGACCCACGCAAAGGTCGCACCACACACTCACGACATCCTGGTGCCTGCGCCTCACACCCGGGCCCCTTGACCAACTAGGACTAGAAGCTGCTACTGTGCACCTTTCACTAGTCTCTGGCTGATCACCTGATCACTCTCTAGCTGACAGTATACCCTCTTCCCAAGTCTAACACCTGGACAGAATTCTTTAAGCAGTTCCCTGCCTTCAGGTACTAGTGACACCCAACGTGTGGTCAGAGAGATCGGTCAGCTCCCTGACAAATCCCTTCTGCTGGGGCCATTAGTCCGTTGGTGGTGGGGGACAGGGTAGAGGGTGACACCCCCACAGGGTGGTCCTCCCTCCCCATCAGAGCATAGGCCCACTATCACTGCAGGGGCCAGAGTCAGGAGGAGCACAAGAGGCGAGGGCCCGGTTCAGTCCCAGGCTCCTGTTGTCTCACCTCAGCTGACTGCAGGCCACGGTCTAAACACCTGGAAGTTCTTTATTTTGGAGGGAGAAAAGGCCGTGACTTTCTTAGAAGGCAAAGTTGGATACAGAACAGTAGTTTTGCTCATATCTACACTAACAATCCTTGAGTCCCATGTCTGGTCCTCCTGGTGGGCACAGCCCCCCGTCCATTGGGTTCTGGAGGCTGTTGGTAGAGAGAACTGTCTTCCTCCATCCCTGTTCCCAAGGTGGCAAAGGGCAGTGCAGGCCTGGTGGGGCAGAGGGGCTAGAGGGTGGCTGGGGATGGTCAGCATAGCTCATGGGGAATTTAAAAACAGGACATCGCCCTCTTTCTGTTGTGTTAACATGCTCTATTTGCCTTACAGGGACCAGCGTATCAGTTGCATGTAAATACTAGAGACACACATGCCCAACTGGAAATTGCAGAACTAGTGCATTTTTCCCAAAGCAGAGACTAAATACCCCTGGATTAAAAAAAAGAACATAAAAAATAAAGAAAGTACCACACATATTGCACTTTTTGCCAAATGAAATTTTTACCTCATGTTCATCTCACCAAAGTCTCTTCAGAGGAGCCTGGTTTACAAGATAATAAAGCTAACGATTATCATACAGTAGTGTACACACCGCTGACGTGAAACAGACTGGAAAGCAAGTCAGTATTGCAAAGTAGCCTCTCATGAAAAGAGTGGTACTAAGCCATCGTAGTGTTACTTTAGTACTTATGAAGATAGAACTGCTTGGAAGCTTCTGTCGGTCACTCGTTAGGGAACAGAACAACAGAGATGATCAGACAGGGCTGAGCAAACACCCCACTGACCAACAGAACCAGTCTCCTCTCACCAGCTTACATTTCAGTAAATACAGATGGTTATGGAATTTATTGATTTCTGCTTGAAATAAATGAGATAAGCAAATAGAGCTTACAACACAGGTTCCAGCAGGAGGGGTCGTGCTCTTCACCAGGCAAGTGTCCAGCTGCCGCCATGTCCGTCGGTTCCTGTTGGGCCTGGCTGCTGCTGGCTGCCTCCCCATCTCTCTCTGGGTCCCTTAACCTTCCAACCCGTAGCCTCTCCGTAGTCCCTCATCTGTCGGCCTCACTGTCCCGCCATAGCTCCTAGGTCTCTTGGGCTAAGCAGCTCACGGCCTTGTTGGGGGCCAGGAGTTTATGCCAATTTGTAACCGTACCATTCCTGCAGTTCTGGAATGAGTGGCCCCCACTGTCAATCTGGAAGGCATTTTAATTTCGTAAATATTATAGCACTCCTGTAGTATATTTTGGGAAAACATCCTCCTTCAGTTTAAACAAATCAAGTCCTGTTTTATAACTAGCTTATTTTGCAAAGACTTAAAACAGATTAGAGATCTTAATGAAATGATCTCTTAAATGAAATGATGTTCTTTATTTCACGAAATCATCAATCTTAAGCACGAGGAGGAAAAAGCAATCCATAGAAGGAACTTAATTCACTCTTCCTGGACTGTCACTGTGTTATTAAATCACAGAAATGACAGCCCCTACACTACCCTTTCCTGCTGACACCGAGAGTCCAACCCCAAGCACAGGGCCTCTGCAAAGCATCCTGGCACCGACATGGAGCCCCAGTGACTAGGCAGACTCTGGCTGGCGACAAGAACTGCAAGTTGCCAGCACTGCTAGGGATGGGGCTGCAGGGCCAGAATGGAACTCCCTAGGTTTTCCATGCTTCCCCTCGCCTGTCTGGACACTTACTACAAAGAGGAAAGGCAACTTAAAGGTGTTTTCTAGATGCAGCATCAGTGTAGTATCTCTCTTCTTTGTGCTTTAAGGAAGATGCTTTGTGCTTAACGCATTCATCTGCTGATAGGACAAGCCATTCTAAAGGACAGAAATTATAATCTTTATAAATAATACTGAATTTGTAACACCTGGATGTTACTGCCCAAATGACAGATTACTCATTACTTCTAGGTTTATAGTTAACTAGCTTTAGCATCTATTTTTCACTTACTCTGATGAATGAATTGGAAGGGTTGGTTAAGTTTTACTAGTAATACAACGTGTTTGGCAGATGATCTGCTTAAATGGTTAACACATCTGTGGTTCTTTGAATATTGCTGTTATACTTGAATGTTTCATTACAAGTCAAAACTTTAAGGAAATTAAGAATGCTGATTCCCACATGGTGGAAAACAAACTCTGAAGTGACTTTGGATTTAGCATTGACATAAATGGAAAACTGTTGGTTTCTACAGAAAAGAAAGAATTAAAGCATGATTTGGGGGGAAAGGCACAGCACTACCACTTCACATGGGACATAAAAGTTCATTTTTCGTGTCCTTAAAATTTCTAAGCCCTATATGAAACTGTCCAAATATACAAAGCTCAATAAACTACTAGCAACATATAGTGTGAGTCAGAGTAGCTGTTACATGGTAAAAGAGACGACAGGGCCTCCGGGGACCAACTGCCCCCAAACCAGAAGTCTCCACAAGAGACTGTGCAGAGAGAGCCTGTCTTCCCTGGCCCGGGGCTGCTGCTCTTGATGCCTTCTCCAGTTTCTTGCCCCCTGCCTCCATTAGTGGGTCTCCTGTTGGTTCTACGGGTGACATCTTTGGAGCCCTGAGCACATTCTGACACTCAGCAGCCCAGGGGTACCTTCTCACGACGTGTATTGTCTGCTCCCAGATGGAGGCGACGGCCGGTCTCAGGGGTCAGTACCAGCTGTCATTTAGGGGCCCCTGAAACAGCTTGCGCTCCACTGCTTTGCGACAGCCTTGGGGACAACTTGCATCAGCAGCTAAGAACTTACGATTCGATGACAAAGTACAACTCTCCTTTATTTCCTGTGCATCAAATTTCATTATGTATTCTTGATTGGCCTTGAAGCAACATGTTGTTGCTCAGCTTCAGTGAAAAATATATTGCCTTTTTTGTTTGCTCATATATATGCAATGGCACACATTTTGCCTGCTTTCACCAAGGTTTCCCTTGATAATGAACTGGTGTAAATTCTGCATAAAACCTAGGTCTGAACGTCTTCTTATAGAAACAGTTGGTGGTGCCTCCCTCGAGAGCTTGCTCCCCTCCACCTCAGGGCATGAGCTTTAGCCTACAACTATGTTCCAGCACTTGCCACAGAAAACTTCGTGGTGGGACAGCGGCAGGAGGAAGCAACCTCCACCCCAGCCAGGCCCGCTGATTCCAGTTGGGCGACTTGATTTCTCCCCATTAGGGAGAGGGCAAGAAAATAAGCTTCAAATTGAAAGGCTGGAATAAAAATAGAAATACAAAGTCTTCCTTCACTTGACCCACCTCGCTTCCTGTGCCGAGGTTAATTCACCAGGACATACCCATTGTGTTGTGGATCCACAGCGTCCAGCATTTCACAATCAAAGAGTCCGGGTAACTCAGAGAGGGCCAGTGGGTCGTAGCTCGAGGTGGCCTCCTGCAGTCCTGAGCTTCTGGGGCAGTCTGGCCCCGCCAGGCCGCTCTGCTGGGCTCCCTCCACGGGGTACTGGCCGGGAGGAGCAGGGTAGTCTGGCGTGGGGGAAGTGGTGCTCGGCAGCTCACAAGTCTGATAGGAGAACTGTAAAGGGGCTGGGGCAGCTCCTGGCTGCTGTGGTGGCGGCGGTGGCGGCGGCGGTGGTGGCTGCTGTTGCAGCTGCGCAGGGAGTGGAGGAGGAGCCCGGGGACCCGGCGAGGAGGGCAGGGGCTGCAGCTGCATCTCCTGGTACTGGCTGAGGAAAGGGCTGTATTGCATCTGCTCGGAGGAGGGCTCCAGGACGGGGCTCAGGGGCTGGGTCAGGCTGAATGGGGGCGCCTGCTGAGATGGTGGGGGGCTCTCCTGGTGGGCAAGGGGCAGCTGCTGACTTGGCTGTGGGTAGGAGCTCTCTGCTATCTGCATCTGATTGAAATATGCCTGCAGCTGAGACTGCTTCTGGAGGAAGAGTCGCTTCTGTTGGAGCCTAAATTGGCAAAACCAAAGGAAAGAATTTTAAATCTTCTCAAGTGATGGCAGTTTTAACGTAAATCCAATACCAGTCATTAGCTTCGGTTCCCCACGCCTCTCTTTCCGATGTCAGGAAAAAACAAGTGAGAGTGGGAACTAATAGTGGGTTTTTTTTATAACCCAATCTCATTTTTTGTCCTTTAATTCAGGCAGTGTTAAAGTGAGCAGGAATGCATTTTCTCTAAGACGCTTGAGTTTTTTCTCCCTATAAAATGAGAGTCTGATTTCCCATCCTGAGTGGTTAGAAGGGGAGATAATCACACTGTGGCCTCTGCAGGTATCTGTAGGTTGATGGATTAGGGTAATTCTACCTTGGCCAACCTGCTTCTAATAGCGAGGCATGCAGGCATGAATTAAGGCAAGGAAGGACAGAGGCCTTCTCTGCAGTCTAACCCACTTTAATTGCTTTGGGCCACTGATTGTGAAAGCTTAGGTCTAGTCATATCCCCAAGGAGAAACAGTGGCAGAAAAGGAACAACGCACATTTGAGGGCTGCTATTGCCTGACAGACTAATACTCTGGGGACACTGGAATATCTTCAGTAGCAGTCATGCCTGAAGACACTGTGGCACACACGAGTGGGAAAGAACAACACATCCAGCATCTTAGCACTTCCACAAGAGTGAGTTCTTCGACCAAAGACTGCCCCCCTCACCTGTGTTCCTGTAGCTGCTGTTCAAGGCTCCGCGGTGGTTCTTTGCAGTAAAGCTGGCAGGTGTTCTGGGCCTTTGACAGAAGGCTGGGCTTCTGGAAGAGCAGAAAAACAATACATGACAGCATGACAATATACTGTCACCTAGGATGCAGTCATCAGACTGTGCTTCTCCTTGGAGGATGAACCTGCAAGCGTATCCTACAGAATCCACACAGGGTGAAGGGACTGACACTTGCTCACTGAGACCCTAGGGCGTGGACTGCCTCAGTTGTAACCTACTTCAGTCTTTCACTCTACTTCTAAAAGTCCTCTAGGACTGTGAGAGGTTCATGGAGATTAAGCACTCGCTTGCTTTTTTCTCATTATCCACTCGACATTATCCACACTTGACATCCGAGTGCAAAGGGTTAAAAAACAATGAGAAAAGTAGAGTTAAATCTTGATAGCAAAGGTCTCAGTGCCTGCAGGATGAATGAATGATTTGTACTTTATGGGATCTATGTTGTATCATTTTTGAAGATTTTCATGTACCAACGTAGAGAGCCCATGTTGAAATTTTGCACACTTGAGAGATTTCCATTTCATTTATTATCCATTAAGAGGCATAAGATTAGAAACAAAGACTCCAGGTCTCCCCTTCCCACCACTCAGTAGTGTATCCTTTCCTGCGCCTGAGGATAAACCCTTTCCCGCTACCAACAAAAAGCCAAGTCTGGACACATTTCTAGAAACTACATGTGAAGAGTCAAACCTATCTGCCTGTAAGGAATAAAGCAGCTACCCTAAGTAAATACCAAGCAAAACAGGTTTCTGCTTTGCAGAAGGGCAGACTCAGGGTAAGCGCAGTGAGCTGGCCTAGCAAGGAGAAGGCCCCACCTGGAGTCTGTGCTGCAGGTACTGAGATTCCAGGCTCTGCCGCTGGGACAGCTGAGGATGCACACTGGTAGGGAGAGTGGAGACACTGTCCTGCTGCTGAGAAACTTCCTCCTGAGGAGCAAGGGGTGAAAACAATTTTCAATTCTCCATGGGGGAAAGAGTCTCAATTTTTACTTTAAGCACCTTTGCAAATGTCCAAAAGGGATCTCAACTCTTTAAGACATAATACTCAAAGCTTTTTACATAACTAGTAGGCTGAGAGTTAATGACTCTGCAGAAAATACATGCATGTATGATCTGTAGTTAACAATTACCCAGTCAGGGATAGAGCAAAGGCTCCTGGTGTTACCAGGAGGCCATCACCTTCATGTGCGCCTCAAATACGCTAATATCCTTGATGCACTGAAAATAGGCTCAAAATAAAATTGCATAAACAGCAACATTTATTGTATTTTTAGCATGAATAATCCACTTAAAATATTTAATGAGGTGTTAGTAGCAAGCAGCTTCTCATCTAGGTGAAATTTCTTACTCTTCATTTGTGTGTGGGGGGAGGGGAGTTCAAGGGAGACTGTACGAGGTCATCCATATATAATCTGCCCTGTCAACCAAAAATAGCTTGACAGTGTCTAGGCCTCCATCTGGTGCTGGTCACTTGGGAGCAGCAGGGCTGGGTCTAAACTGTCAGTGGCAGGTGGCAGCAACACGGAAAGTGTTCAGGCTGTGGGCTTTCCAAAAGAAGCTGTTTGCTCCAGGTCTGGAGGAAATCCTCTAAGTGAAAATGGCACATCTTCAGGACAAACTCGCACCTCATACTCACAGGGCCATGGTGGGAAGGGCCCAGCGCACCCACCTGAGGGCAACTGCTGGCAAGGTCTTGGAGCTGAGGAGCAGCTGATGGGTCTGCCTCTGATCCTATTTGTTCATACAGCAACTGCACTTTGTTCAACTCTAGAATTCCTTTGGTTCTAGCCAGATTCTGAAGATGCTGTCTAAATGCTACAATTCCTGAAAGGAAGTACAAAGACCAGTTTAAATAAAATACAAAACCTTTCAGTGATCACAGGTTCACACCAACATGGCAACAAACCTTCCTCAACTCCTACAACATAAGAGTTTTAAAAGCCAGAGGAGAAAGCAGTCACCTTGGGTGAGGGAGGTGTCCGACGCCCGGCGGCCCTCTCTGAAGCTCACTGGCGACCTGTTGTGGGCCTCTCGTTTCTGGGCACCCAGAGCCTGCATGGCTGGGTTGGTGGGTCTCAGGCTTACGAAGGGAGATGTCATGCGGGGTGAGGGCTGATTGGCTACCATCATGTCCTTAAGGGAAGGGTTGTCCTCCAGAAAGTTCAGGTCCCTCTGGACAGACCCCATATCATACTCAGAGTCCACACTGTCAAGGGAGGGGTTGTCACTCATGGAGAAAATTTTCCCTTTAAGAGAAAACAAAACAGATATAACCAACAACAATAGCATCTTTTAAGAACACATGATACAAAGCATAAGCAGCTTGGGTTATGACAGCTATGATGCCCTTCATCTCCAATCAAAACATCTTTTCAGAAACTTTTTTAGAGGTCAATTTAATCATCTTCAAATTTAGTGGGGCGAACACTCCAGAAGCTACAGTCGTAAGCTCTCTGCCATTCCAAAGGACCTGGCGTCCCTGGGGAAACACACGGCCCCCAAGTGCATCCTGGGAGTTAGGGGAGCCAAACCAGAGACATTTCATTTTAATCTGTTAGCTGCTGAGCAGACCTAATCTGAATCCGCTCCAGAAAGGAATGAGATACAGACTAAATTCTAGGAATTCCTGGTGATTGGAGTACGAACTAATGCCGTGAAGACCTAACCCGGCGCTGCCCCCGCATCATACCTGCCCCAGGCATCACGACCAGCTGATTGGTCACTTCGGACAGAGTGTGCCGCCTCTGCCCGCTGCGTGTGGACTGAAATGCCTCGAAGGAGTGGCTGGGGTCTTCCTCGGCCTCTCCTTCCGTCTCCAGCCCTTCGTCGATGGAGGTCTCCATCATGTCGCTGGGCAGCGACTGGCAGCCCTTCCTCAGCAGGGCAGGAGGCACAGGGTCGAGCAGACAGCCGTTTACCTAAATGCCAGAGGGGGAGGGAACATCAGTTGCTGTTCTGTTGAAACAGTAGAAAAATCCCCAAAGGAAAAACCATCAAGACTTGAGGCAAACTAGAAATGAAGGAAAGTATTGAACGTGTACATATTTATTACTAACTACAATACATAGAGGAGAAGTTAAGGCAAGCCAACTGCAGCACTTAGAGAGACAGAAGCCCATTATGACCCGAACTGGCACTGCCACCCAGGTTCCTCTGAGTCATCTTTATTATAATAAACACATTTTTTAGTGGTTTCTAGAAGAACGGGGGGGGGGGTGTTATATTAGCTTGAGGCCTGCCAGTTATTTTTTTAAAATAAGGGAAATGAAGAGAGGGGAAGATGAGTTTGTTTGTCTTTTTTTTTCCAACTGCATGGCTCACAGCTAAGAAAAAGTAGTAGTGACCAACATTCTTCTCATTTTCAACCACAAAACATACCAAAAGGTGCTAGACGTACTTTTATGTTCATAATTTAAGTGCCTGCCCATTTGATTTAGTCTTCATTTGGTTCTGTGTGCCTGAGGAATGGAAAGTGAGAATTCTTTCAAGACAGACTGATAGCAGAAAAAGGATTGGAAAAAAAAAAATTCAAATGGCAAACAGCCAAAGCCTTCCATTATAGAATAACAAATGACTCACTGGCCTAAAATTCCAGCAGAGGTTAATAAGCCCCAGTGCACTGAATTCCCTCTCCCCCAGCAAAACACACAGTAGCTCCAGTTCCTATCCTACAGGGATGAGCTCAGCACAGCTCCTGAGCACAATCTGCCTTCCCAGGCAGTTGCCAAGCAAACCACCTAATGGCAGCAGAAACAGCACACAAAGGGGAGTTGTGGTTGCAAGTTCTGGCTGGTAAAAGCCCCTGTGAGGAGGCAATTATTTACCTCATTACCTTAACTATTCCCCTGCGGAAATCAATCCGTTTTCTCCTAAGAATAGCTGCTCAGGAACAGCCAGTCATAAGATGTTCAGTTCTAAGCATTTACCCTCACCTGGAATATACTGGGTAGAGCTATTGTTTCCTTTGGATGCAGGAGCAGCTCACGTATGTGAGAGGTGACGTGGGATAGCCCTTTGCCAGACACAAGAAACTTTCCTCTTATGGCAACCAGTCTGAAGGCACTGCAAGGCCCTTTATTTGGAGAGGGAGACTTGGGTGACTCAGATCTTTGTTTGCTTGGGGGAGGGGACGGTTTTCTATTAAGAACTGCTCTGGGGCTACAGCATTATTTGGATAAGGTGGCAAATGTATTACAGGTTTTTAAAGTGATGAGTGGTCGTTTAAAAGGAAGAACAGCAAATAATTTCTTCCTAGAGTTCACTCAACCTTCCCTATGACATCAGAAAACAAAACTCTGAATCTAGCTAGCCAAGTCTTATTCTCTCCTTGCTCCTTCCCCAGATAAGATTTCTTTCTTTCTTTTGTTTTTTTTTTTTTTTTTTTGAGGCAGAGTCTCGCTCTATCACCTGGGCTAGAGTGCTATGGCATCAGCCTAGCTCATAGGAACATCAAACTCCTGGGCTCAAGCAATCCTCCTGCCTCAGCCTCCCGAGTTGCTGGGACTACAGGCATGCGCCACCATGCCCAGCTAATTTTTCTAATTTTAGTAGAGATGGGGTCTCACTCTTGCTCAGGCTGGTCTCCATCACTTGAGCTCAAGCCACCCTCCCACTTCAGAATCCCAGAGTATTAGGATTACAGGCGTGAGCCACCTTGCCCAGCCTGTTTTTTGACTATACTGAATAGTTTTCTTATAAGACAGAATGGCTGTTTCATACCTCTAGGCTCCTTAAATATCTACTAATACAATTTCTAAGACTAGCCGAGGATGATTTAGAGATGAATAAAGTAACAGAGGAAAGAATATTCGTAAGTAATTATCTACTGAGCATCTTTTACACTTACAGCCTCTGTCAAAATTTCACCAGACATTTCTTGCAGTATAAGCCATACAAGCAGGTTCTTTTTTTCCTTAATAAGGAAAAGTCACCTTTTCTTAGTCACTTAAAATACCCTGCAGTCTCCCTGAATTTTCAATTTTACTTACATTGTCAGCTAATAAATTTATCTCCTCACCTAGAGTACAAGAGGAATTATATTTTTTATTTTAAAATGTTTGCTGAATTCAATTTCATCCGAGGATAGCTGGAAAACAATGATCTGATATTTAGTGATGATTAAGAAAGGGCTGTGGGGGCTACTTTTAAATAGATGTGAACACCTGCAGCCTTCAGTTACTATTTCCTGAAAGAGCCGATCACCACGCCACGCTTGCCTGCCAATTTACCCAGGGACTTGAAACAGGACCCTAAACTCAGCTCCAGGATTTTGTGACCGAAATACTAAGCTGATCTATCAACTGACCTAAGCTGCTTTCTTAATAAGATTTTTGCTCTATGAAATAATCTAGGCTAACTATCAATTATAGGACTTCAAAATACAATGTGGTGAAATGTACATTTTCTAGTTTATTGTTTTTGTCTTTCCTTAAAGTTCAATTGATTACTTCACTTGTAAAAGATCTCATATTGCAATAGGTGACCTATATGACCAAAGAGAAGGCTTTATGTCAAGATTCAAAAAGTGTATAAATAAAACTACAACACCTTTTTAAAAAGCATTTTAACCATCTTGAGGCAAATTAAATAACTAGGTGAGGAAGGAAAGAACTGAATAACACCAGCTCTAGAAATTTATCCTGAAGAATTAATCAGAGGTATCATCAAAGATTTAGATATAAGGATTTTCACCTTAAGCATACATAAGGGAGAACATTCTGTAAAAGAATTGAAATACCTGATCTCCAACAACAGGAGAGGAATTAAATAAGGGTAATATTAATACAATATATTAGGCTGTTGTTAAAACTCATTCTTTCAAAGAACATTTTGTGACATGGGAAAAATGCTCATGGAATATTATATAAAGCAAGATACAAAATTACACAGAATATAATTTTCTTCTAGAAAGTCTACCTACCTACTGAACCATCCTACCCCTACCTACCACCATCCATCTATAACCTGCTTTAAGGAAACATGCCAAAATATGCTTATCTTTTGGTAGTGGGATTATGGATAAATTAATTTTTTTTCTTTACTCTACTCTGAATGTTTCATGTATGATTATGATTGGTTTTATTTGTTCAATTTAAAATTATAATGTTATAAAAAAATCCAAATTTGGAAGTAAAAGTGAAATTTCTCCCCCTTATAAAAAGCCTGAGAAGTTAACACTATTAAGAGTTTGATACATATCCTTTTCTTTTCTTTCTTTCTTTTTTTTTTTTTTTTGAGACAGAGTCTCACTCTGTCACCCCAGCTAGAGTGCAGTGGCATCATTATAGCTCACAGCAACCTGAAACTCCTGGGTTCAAGTGATCATCTTGCACCAGCCTTCGGAGTAGCTGGGACCATAGGCACGTGCCATAATGCCCAGCTGATTTTTTCTATTTTTAGTAGAGACAGGATCTCTCTCTTGCTCAGGCTGGTCCAGAACTCCTGAGCTCAAACAATCCTCCCGCCTCAGCCTCCCAGAGTGCTAGGATTATAGGCATGAGCCACTGTGCCTGGCTGATGTGTTATATATCCTTTCTAGACCTTCTCTTATGTATACTACCTTTGTAATAAAAAAAAATTAAAAATGTATATAGACATGAAACATCCCTTCTACAATTGCATTTTCATGGTTTAGCCTCACTGTTCCCTTCTGCTATTGAGCTATGAAGGTGGTAACTTGGACAATTCTTTCATTATAATAAAATATATTTTATATAAAGTGACTGAAGTAAGTGTGTATGTGTGAGTGTATGTATAAAAAAAATTCTCAAGAGAAAGATTTACTCTGTAGGATTTATGCATTTGCCCCCTCCCATATGGTCCCTGTGTCACCTGTGGGTCTCAGTTACTATTTGAAGTACCTGATCCAACCATTCTTATCTAGAGGGAGGTGACTCTCTCAGAAAGGTGCCATTTTTTGCAAGAACCACAAACCAAAGTTTCAATTTAGACTCTCTAAGGGATTTTACTGACAGTTTTAAGCACTGAAGACTTCTGGGAGGGAAGGAGAGGTGAACTCTCTTTGAGATGCATAATCTGTCCCCAGCTGAGAGCAGAAATGAAATTAGCAATACAGGCAGCTATGAGGCATCTTTTAGAAAACAACAAATGGATGTTATAGTACATACATATGAAGCAATGTGAACAAAAAGGGAACTGTATCTCTAGCTGATAGTTTTTTGTGTGTGCATTTATTTATGGGCCCCAAAGAAGGGTCTTAGGGAGGGAAGAGACACAGTGTTTTTGCTGACATAAATAAAACACTCCACAAATAAGACCAGCGGATGTCTCTGGCCTGGCTGAGTGCCAGGGTGGCTATGCTAGTGTGGGTGGCCAGCTCCAGCGTGGCACTGTTCTTCCTACAAATGCAAATATACCATCTAGCTACTGTCTATATCTTTTGCAAAATCATTCATTTCCTGTCTGTTTCCTAGTTACGGTAACAATCACAAGCTTTAAAAATAGCTTGCCCTATATAATACAACAGACAGTGCCCAATCTGTGTTTCAGGCCTGATGCCCTCACAGACAAGCCTTTAGCAGACTGCATTTTAATTTTTTTGAGGGAATTAGATTTTCAAAATAAATGAATTATGTTGCTCTAATTTATGTCTAAATTTCTGAGTGGGACTGTAGTAGCAACCACAGGCAAAGAAAGCAGACTGTCCACAGGCAGTGGACTCGTCCTTGTCCTTAGGGACATGGACACTAGCTACTTGTGGCCAGCAACTAGGCTGAAACCTGCCTGTGGCAGCCTAGCATGGAGCTGCCTGCTCCGGGCTACGCTGCGGCTGAACTCATGACTGACCCTTTGAATCTGCTCTGCCTCCGGAGTCCCTGATTTCTGAAAATGGCTCTCACCTTCCAACATCTAAGCTCAAATCTTGTTATACTGGTTTGGACTTCTCCTCTCCAGACTCTAATATTCTATCAGTTTTATCTTGACCATCTCATTTCTGTGGTCCCCTCCTCTCCAGGTTCATGGCCACTGTCCTAGTTCAGCTCCCATCACCTCCTTCCTGGACATGCGCTCTGACCTCTGTTTTTTCCCCCACTACTCAACGTACCAACGTGACCATGCAGGCGCATTTTCTGAAACACAACATGGATCACAGTGCTTCCTTGCTCAAAAATCCTCAACTTTCCTACCACCCCAACGACTGTTCCTTCAATTGTTTCCATTGATACCGAAACACTTCTCCACATTGAGAGCTCCGACCTTGAGAAAAAGGCTAAATTCCTTGGCTTACCATTCACAGCTAACATATCCATCTTTATTTCATACAACCTGCCTTCATAGGCCCTTCCCGCGGACAAACTGAACTACTGCGCGGACGTGGATGGACCTACGCTTTCCTACTGATTGCTTTCGCTCAGGCTTTCCCTCCCCTGAAGACATCCCGCCCTGGTTTCTACCCACCCAGGTCTACTCACCTCTCAATCTCCCGCTCTGACAGTTAACCCAAAGACTTTCCCGATCAAACAGCTAAAAGCAACTCCCCCCCGCCTTCTAGTCTCACTTGGATTCATACTTCTTTAAGGGACTGATCATATTTTATCTTTTATCAATTTATTCAGCACCTGGCATGCTGTCTTTAGTTACATATAATGTTTCTTCTGCTAGACCGTAGTCTAGCAGACTGCGAGACAGAGTTCATGTCTGACTCATTTTTTATCACCTAAAGAGGTAAAAAGACAGGAAACCAATATGTGCTGAATATCTATAATCGGCCCCAAACTTCATACACATTATCTTAATTCTGACAAAAGTCTCAAAAAGTTGGTATTCTCATTTTACACAAGAGAAAACTGAGGTTCAAAAGTTTAGTCACCTTGCCCAAGTTCACACAGCTAGTAATGAGAAGAATCTATTTTGAACGTACTCTAAGATCTATGTTCTTTTATGACACTCTGTTACCCATCAATATGATCCTCTGTATACTGCTTGATGCTAAGTACATATAACACATATTAGAAGTTAAATAAATATCCATTAAATGAGAGAAGCTGTCATCTTCCATATCCTGAAAGACAATTTTATGTAGTACACTAATCTTTAAGCACATCCAAAGTGGACAAAAAACGATGTTTAACTGGCCAAAAAAGACAGCCCATCATTTTGTAGCTGCAGTACGCTAAGCAGAAGAGAGTCAATAATAATGAAATAAACAAAGTCCAACTCAGCAGAAAAGTTAATTTTTTGTTTCCAGAATTAAAATCTATTAACAAAAATACCCCGCCCAGACACTTGTGAGGGATCTAGGAACTTGAAGAGAGAAGGAATTAGTTAAGGAAGGAGAACGAAGATGGCTTTGAAAAGTTCACACAAGGTCTGACAAGTTATGTTATGTAACAGTCGTCATGACAAAACGCTGATGAGGGCTGGGCCCTGGACACAGTTCTCAGGTTTTTCTCCACAAAAACAACACTTCTGAGTGACTTGAGGAAATGGCAAAGTTCAACAAAGCCAAAGTACAACACTTGTGGACCAAACTGAAGTCTCCAGCCAACTGCCAGCTCGGAGTCTCTTAAACACACCCGTACCTTTGGAGTGTCCACACATTCTTCTTCCATAAACGCTGCTTCCGCCTGACAGCCGGACGCTGGGAAGGGAAAGGCCTCCACGGTGGACGCCTGTGGGAGGAGGGCAGAGCGCAGCAGTCGCATGTTCGGCGAGTGCATGGTCACTGGGAGCCCCACGGTTTGTGCCTGTGAGCACGGCAAGAACAGACAGTGTGGGGATGTGAATACCTTCTCTGCAGATACACAAAGTTTTAAGAATAAAATAATTCTTCCTGGGGCAATTGAAGGATAAATAATTATTCATTGGAAACTCCAGAAAGATTTTATAAAATATGTATATGGTACAGGTATTGATTTGAAGCAGTCAAATCAATGATTCTGAAACAGGTTGTACAGAATTTCATTCCTGTCTCATGATAACATGTGTAACTTTCATGCAGGTCTTTGTGATGCATCAAGAATCCTCCTTGCTAGGCCGGGCGCTGTGGCTCACGCCTGTAATCCTAGCTCTTGGGAGGCCGAGGCGGGCGGATTGCTCAAGGTCAGGAGTTCAAAACCAGCCTGAGCAAGAGCGAGACCCCGTCTCTACTATAAATAGAAAGAAATTAATTGGCCAACTGATATATATATAAAAAATTAGCCGGGCATGGTGGCGCATGCCTGTAGTCCCAGCTACCCGGGAGGCTGAGGCAGAAGGATCACTCGAGCCCAGGAGTTTGAGGTTGCTGTGAGCTAGGACGCCAAGGCACTCACTCTAGCCTGGGCAACAAAGCGAGACTCTGTCTCAAAAAAAAAAAAAAAAAAAAAAAAAAAAAGAATCCTCCTTGCTTCAATTCAACAAACATATTTGTCTCTTTCTTTAAATATATTACCTAGAAATACATAAAGAAGAATAGAAGTGTCCTTGCCCCTGTGAGCTCAAAATTGAACCAGGGACAGGCATATACACACACATCCGCAACGAACTACAATACAAGGTACACTGAAATAAGTACTATATCTCTGCTTTTTGTTTTGTTTTGGGTGGGGTGAGATGGTATATATTTCTTGGCTAGGGTGTGTGTGAAGAGGAAAAGAGTAGCAGCAGTTGCTTGGAGGTGACAAAACGTCTGCCCTCCTTCCTTGGAGGAGATGCACGGCCCGCACGGTGTGCTGGCCTAGCAGACGGGGACGCTTACTGCCGAGCAAGTACTGTTCCCCAAGCCAACCTACTACAGAAAGCTCCTGATGGGTTTAAGCCTGTTCTCACGTGTCCCTTATTTACTACCCTAATTAAACAAGCATTACAAATGCTTCTTTTTAAAAAATCATTTAAAAGACAATCTTCCCTTATGAGAATTGGCAAAGATTAATTTTAAAGGTGAAGCTGCTGGATGGTCCTTTCATCCCTGTCCCTTCAAAACTACCCGAATAATTTATCAACTGCATTTTGAACATAAAAGACATTACAAAACATCTGAGGGAACAATGATCTTACCAGACTACGAAGCAGAAGAATGGCCTATACTTTTCCTGCTGTAGTCACTTCAAGGGATATATAGGATAGGGAGTTTTAAATTCAAACAAGTGAAAGGAACAAAATGGTATGAGATTCGAGCTTCTCTTCCCCCAAGACCTGAGTTTGATTCTGAGCTCCCTCACTTACTAATTGTGTGACCTTAATCAGGTTACCTAACTTCTCTGAATCTTATCTGCTTCACCTGTAAAAAAGGAGCTAATAACTACTTCGCAGTTGTGAAGGATTGTAAAAGGTAACATGTAAAGTCCTTAACTCAGTAACATGAATTCCTCCTTTCCCCTTCTTTCTAAAGCCTTAAAATGATCACAAGAATGTAAGAATTAGCTTGCAAAATGAATGCAGTTTTGTTCCCAGATACTATCTAATGGTTCCCAGCTAGGATTTCAGGTTGATGATTTTCAAGGATTGGAGGATATATTAGAAACATACTTTATGTCTGAATATACTTTGAATACATTTACAATTTACTTTATATTTGACATATTCCAATATTAACATCATTGGATATACTGCACAAGGCAAAAAATAAAATACTATTAGCAAAACATCAGTAGGCTACAGATGATAAAAACAGAAAAGAAATACTGCATACCATTCTGGGCATGATAAAGAAATAACTTTTCGTGTATTGTCACTCCTCAGGCTTATATCCTGTGCCACTTTTGAGGTTAAACAACACTTTTTTTCCCCCTTTCAAACACTAATCATTTAAATTAATTTCGCTAGCCACAATGTGAAGTTTTAACTTCCTAATAAAGTATATTTGGTATACTCTTCTTACCCCCATCATCAGCTTTTCAAACAAAAGGATAAAGCTGAAGATTGATTTCTAGTTCCCAAATTTATCAGACCGCTCCTTCTATATGAAAGTAGTCTAGATGATCAGGGCAAAGCATTAGCTGAAGGCGCTGCACTGGAAATGAGATGCCAACAAAACAACTACAACATCCTGCCCCTTCCCAGTCCTTGACTCTTGCTAGCTCTGAGTCTTTAAATGGCAGGGCTGTGCTGTGCCAGGCCAAGCGTAGCACATTGTCCTTGACGACTTTCACATCCGACCTGAACCACAACAACAACTGACTGTGTACTTGGTAAGGGCAGAGGAATAACACATTTTGTTGTGACAGTCACTTCCTAGGAAATAGACCAGTAGGTTTTAGGAGTCTTGCAGTCACTGAGGGGACTAAAGAAGTCTTTTTGGAACAAGAGAGGCTATAAATATATGAATGGCAGGCTCAGTGGTACAGAGCTGACTAGAGAAAATGAATAGACAGACGGCCAGTTAATATCCCAAGGAAGCAGATATTACCAGCTTCTTTGACAGAGCCAACGATCATGTCTAGTCAATTGTGATTACTTTTTTAGACCATGTGTTTATTGCCTTGAATTTCTTCTTTTGACTTTGTGTTTTCCAGAAGCATCAAAATGAAAATAATGTTCTTTCCTATGGGAAAATTGTTACGGCTCCAACACGCATAGACTTGCTACAGCCTGAATTGTGTCCTCCAAAAATTCACAAGTTGAAGCCCTACCCACAGTGTGACTGTATCTGGAGACACGACCTTTAAGAAGGTAAGTAAGGTTAAATGAGGTCATAAGGGTGAGGCCCTGATCCAATAGGGCTGGTGTTCTTGTAAGAAGAGGAAGAGATGCCAGAGATCTTTTTCTCCACACTTGCATGGAGGAAAAGCCATCTGAGGACACAGTGAGAAGACAGCCATCTTTAAGCGAGGAAGAAAGCCCTCACTAGAAATCAGCCCTGACAGCACCTTGATCTTGCATTTCAAGCCTCCAGAACTGTGAGAAAATAATTTCTGTTGTTTAAGCTACCCAGTCGGCAGCAGTTTGTCATGGCAGCTCTGGCAAACGAATGCAATGCTTTTTCCAATAGTTGTGAAGGGCAACTTCTAATCAGCAATTAAAGCATTGGAGATGACTGTTTCCTTATCTGTTTACAGTTGATAGAAACTTGGAGTGGAAGAACTGTTAAAACCTAGTGGTTAGAATTCATGAGAAAAAGGCAGGACGTATTTTTCTCTAAATAGTCATCTGAAGTCAATTAGATATAACACTTCCTGCCTGTTATACAGCAAATGCAAGTACTCTAAATCTAAGATGGGAATCTCACTGTTGTCTAAATAATAATAATAGGTAGTTATCACTAGATGATCAACTCATTAAGGGCAGGGACTATTTCCTGGGACTTCTGAAGCCACAGTGGCTGGGACCGTGCCTGGCGTATAAGTGCTCTATTTGCTGAATTGCATTTAACTTGGTGGCAATCTTATGAAGTAAGTATTGCTATTTCCATTTTATATTTAAGGATGCAGGAGCTCAGAGATGCTGACTTGCCCGAAGTCACCGAGCTTGGTATGGAACCCAAGGTCTGTGTGATTCCACAGCTCATGTGATCTTTGTATTGGATCGTGTTTCCTCAATTTTTTACTGCTATATCAAGTAACAAGTGATTTGCCACTTCCTTAAAAAAAATTACAACATCAAAGAATTAAAGTGAGAAGGCTCTACTAAAACTTTCAGCACATTTATATCCATAACAACAGAGAAAACTATTTTTTAACAAGTTCAACACTAAAATTTAGAGTGTGAAATCTCGGAGGGAAGGGAGCATTTTCTTCAGCCCCGGAGCCTGTTGCTTAGCATCCAGAAGGCACTCAAGACAGGTTTGCGAATGAGCACTGAAGACTGCCACTTGAATTAGATACATTTTAACTTACAGTAAGTAGGTTTCTATGACGACTTGGGTCAATGCATAAAGTGAAAAGAACTCATGGAGTGCTTGGTAATAAAAAAAAAAAGTTATCAAACATAAGAAGCCATGTTATAAATCTGAACTCTGAGCCAAATTAAATATAATTTGAGATATCCTAGAGAATTTGCTCCTAGTCTAGATATGAAAGGATATCATGTACAATAACACCCACACGTGCTCAGGAACAATCATTTATGTAACCCCTCACCACTCCCTCACTTGTGTAATGTTTAAGAAGAACAAAGAGACTTGGCAGAGAATGACTGCCACAGCCCTGGGGGTTTTCCTGCTTCCTATCCATCCTGTCTGGCCACATTTACAAGAGGGAAGGGGTTCCACTGCATCTCACTATGGCTACCCCAACTTAGGAAGTCTCATTTTATCTCTTCCTCTCTCTGTCTTGAAAGCAATACCGTCAACTTTGAAGGTTTCCAAGTACTCAGAGATACTCTAATCCACATATCTGCAACTGTATTGATACCTGATTTGACTCACATTTGTATCAATACATTATTTTACATACAAAGTATGTATAACAAAATAAACCATTTGCCTATTAAAATCAAGAAGATTTTAATTTCTTCTTTTTACATGTTCTGTAGAAACCAATGCAAAATTTTATTATAATCCTGTAAGTTTTGTAAAACTGCCAAAGAAACACAATGTTGTCAAAACTCTTCTGCTCTTACTTTTGCTTAGAACAAAATAAGTTACTCAGAAAAGTGGACAGGAATCCTAATTGAGCATAAATAAGAACAAATCACTCCCTTTCTCAACCTCTATATAGATGATTCCCCAAATCTCATTAGCCCCAGCCTCTCCTCTCTTCTGAAATCCAGATCCATATCTTCCCCCTGAGCAACTGAGTTAATGTCGCTGCTATTTTCTCAGGTCTGGGCTCGAGGATGAGTCTCCTCTAACTCACTGTTGCCCCTTCTTCCTCAACATTTGATTATTACTGTATATAACACACACACAGCACTTACTATGTGCCAGGCACTGTTTTAAGTGCTTCACAAATATTAACTAATTTAATTGTCACAACATTTTTAAATTCTTTTTCTTTCTTTCATTCTTTATTTTTTGAGACAGTCTTGCTCTGTCACCATGGCTTACAGTGCAGTGGCATCAAACCTCAAACTCCCAGGCTCAAGCAATCCTCTTGCCTTGGCCTCCCAGAGTGCTAGGATTACAAGGAATGAGCCATTGTGCCAGGCCCCAACATTCTATTATTATCCCCATTTTAAACTTGGGCAATTGGCCAGGTATGGAGGCTCACGCCTATAAAACTAGCACTCTGGAGAGGCTGAGGCAGGAGGATCAATTGAGGTCAGGAGTTTGAGACCAACCTGAGCAAGAATGAGACCCTGTCTCTACCAAAAATAGAAAACTTAGCTGGGCGTGGTGGTGTGCACCTGTAGTCTGAGCTACTCGAAAGGCTGAGGCAGGAGAACTGGTTGAACCCAGTAGTTTGAGGTTGCAGAGAACTATCATGACATCACTGTACCTTAGCCAGGGCAACAGAGCAAGACTCTGTCTCAAAAACAAAACAAAACAACAACCCCCCCCCAAACCTCAGAAACTCGGGAAACTGAGGCACAGAATGACCTTAAACTCCTTTAATGTCACACAGCAGGAAATGGCAGGATCTGGGATTTGCTCCAGAGTCCCTACTTGTAAGCACCATGCCGAGCTGCCTCTCCAAATCTCTGCTAAGTTCACACAGAGTCTACCTCTGAAACAGTTCCTAGACTTGCCTCTTCCTTTCTGCCCCCACCAGCACCATATTAGTTTAAGCCTTCAGTATTTCTCATATCAACTACCATAATCTCCTAACTGTTCTCTCAAAATTTCTTCTCTTCCCTATCCAACCCATTCTTCCCAATGCTACCAGGTTAATTGGCTTAAAGCATGGATATAATTGTATCATTTTTCTGTTTAGCAGCCTGCAGTAGTTCCTTATTGCTTCCTGAATTATAAATAAAGTCTTTACCTTGGCATTCAAAGCTCTTCACAGTCTGGCTTCAGTTTATAATTCCCATTTTGTCATTTGCCTATACTTCAATTCAGGTGAATTAATGAGAATAAGGCCCCCACTGGCCCACATGAGTACTTCTCTCATCTGTGCTGCCCCTTCTGCCTCCCTAGGATGCCTTCAACCACTGCCTCTCCCTAACAAAGTCCTACACGTCTGCGAAGATTGGTCTTCTATGCCATCTCTCCCACAAAGCCTTTCCCCTTCAGATGTGCCTCTCTCTCCCTTGTCCTTAGCTTTTCTACAGCGCTCATCTTTCTCTCTGTTGAGTGACAGTTATGTATGATCTTGTCTTATTTTACTTCCATAGTGTAATGTCTCTGAGGGTAATGACTGCATTTTACATATCCCATCCCTGATAGTACCTAATAATAGAAGCTTGCACATGGTAAATCTGCAATAAAGAGTTGTTAAATGAAACTACATGTATAGGCTAGTTACAGTAATTCTCAACATAAGTGAATGATTAAAAAATGAAGCATCTCTTTAAAAAAAAAAACTGCTTGAGGCCGGGCGCTGTGGCTCACGCCTGTAATCCTAGCTCTTGGGAGGCCGAAGCGGGCGGATTGCTCAAGGTCAGGAGTTCAAAACCAGCCTGAGCAAGAGCGAGACCCCGTCTCTACTATAAATAGAAAGAAATTAATTGGCCAACTGATATATATATATAAAAAATTAGCCGGGCATGGTGGCGCATGCCTGTAGTCCCAGCTACCTGGGAGGCTGAGGCAGTAGGATCACTCGAGCCCAGGAGTTTGAGGTTGCTGTGAGCTAGGCTGACGCCACGGCACTCACTCTAGCCTGGACAACAAAGCGAGACTCTGTCTCAAAAAAAAAAAAAAAAAAAAAAAAAAAAAAAAAAAACTGCTTGAAATAAAGTTAATCCTTAAAAATAGGAAGGTGCTAAAACATTTGAGAATCTAGTGAATGACAGAGAAACAAACTTTACAGAAAGACAGTGTAGAGGATGAAAGCCTAACTCTTTGTACTGCAAGATGAAAAATGTGTCAAACATGTGAACAGGCGCGTGCACAGATAACACTATCGGCTAAGGGGGCGTTACCTTGGCAACTGTTTGTTCAGCGATGGAGCTAGGCCGGCGCTGGCGGCCATCAAGTCTCTGCTCCACTGGAAAACTGCTCCTGTGTGATTTTAGGCGCTCCACCAACAAGAAATAAATGGCAGCAAAGTGGTTATAGCTCTTGTTCTGCAAGGACTGAAAGAGAAAACAAGTGCTGAAGGCAGAGAACTATAAAAACCAATTTAATGGTCTATACCTTTCTTAAAAAAAAGAGAAAGGAAATCATCTGTTCTTAAAGTAGATTGACAAAGTGTGCCTCAACATGAAAGCTGTTCCAGAATTTAGACTGGAAGGCAGAAAATTTTCAAGTCTTTAGTATTAATGATCTAAAAGGTGATTTAAATGAATTGCTTGGCCCTTCTACATTAACAGGATCCATTTATTTTTCTGCAGTCAGGGAAAATGCCATCCTGGTCTCATATAGACATTCCCCAATGCTGCCATGTGGTCCCATCTCATAGCTGTAACCACGGTGTAAGCTCAGTTAGCAACCTGAGCCTGGGGCTCTAATTCCATGGCTTCCACACCAGTCCAAACCATTGAAAACTCTGAAGTGAATGATTAAAGTCTTTGGGGAACTTTCTGGTGATTATTTTGGGCTGGCGAATGACATCTGGATGCTAAATTGAGAGACACTATGCCTCCGTTCTTAGGTAATTTTTTCCTCTTGTTTTTGCAGTCCCACCCTCTTGAAACCTTGAAAATACAGTTGCTTCCCAAATTTTCACATCTCTAGCCTGCCAGCTTTCCCAGGATACTAAGGGAACAGGGAAACAACTGCTCCTTTGGCTTCTAATTCCACCTGACAGTGTGCAGAGGTGCTGTGCAGGATGCAGAATACTCTCAGCAACAATCACAGGCCAGTGGAATGGCACTCACAGCTGCCCTTGGGGATCTACTTCATGGACAGTGCAGAAAAACGTCACTGAGTGCACGACGTGCAAAGCAGGGAAGTCAGTTTGGTTTCACCCACGGCTACAATGAGGGAAAAGGCAGCACAGTCTTTCACAGCAAACAAGGGGGCATTTGATATTCTTTCTTGTTATGCTTCCTCTTTAAAAGAACTGTTTTTTACTATTGTGGAGTTATTAAAAATATGTATCCCATAAGTACACCTACTATTAGAGGATAGAAATAAAAAAAATTCCCAAGTAAAACTTCATGCTTCATCTTGGAAAAACTTTCTAACTTTTATTTGCTAAAGCTTCCATCTTTGCCTTTTCTGAATCTTCTACAAATGCTTCCTCTTGAATTTTTTGGTGGATGGGGCAAAGAAAGGAATTTAGACATTGAATAAAAGCAACTATAAATAGAGTCTGATGTAATCACCAGGGAACACTTGAATAGTATGCCTAGGTGCTGGGAACAGATGTGCTAAAAGAGTAGGATGACAGGTGTGAGCATGAAATTTCAAGTAACTAAGTGCAGTAGAATCCTGAAATATCTTTAGTCAAATCTCTGATGGCTTTACCTCAATGGTTTTCTGCTGATCTATTCCAAGGCTGTGCATCAATCGCAGAACCTGTTCATTAAACTCCCCGATCGATGGCTCATTTTCTTGCTCTTGTGGATAGAGAACAGGTCTCTGTACAGGAACTTCGATGAGCATCCATTTATGCTCCTTGATTTGAGCTATGGTTAGCCGTTTGCAAGGGTCTAGGACCAACATCCTTCGAATAAGGTGCTCACAATCTATAGAAACCACAATGTTACAAAAGTCACACAAATCACCTTGCACTTTAGTGTTATCTGCTTGACTCACATGACTTTGTACAACAGTGTTAATCGTTGTATCCTCCACTGGAAAGCAGAAGGTCAAATGAATAAATGAATACATGAAGCTTACTGACATTTGTCAAGTTCACCTGGTGAACCAATGAATATTTAAGAAAAACAGGAGGCTGTAGGTCTATCAGATTCTGTGCTCAGTGAAATCTTTCTACTGAATTTCCAAACTGAAAATATCTAGACACGGACTTAGATTTCAACTAAAGAAAAGAAACAAGCCTCATTCCTAGAACAAGCAAATGATAAATTGATCCTCAGTCACATCTAAGGCTGATACACTAAGGCTATGCAAGTGAGGCAGAGAGGTCTCCAATGGGCTGTTGCTTTTCTTCACATTCAGTGCAGATGAGAAAAACTATGTGAAATATTATATACTTCTTGATTACACCAAGAAAATGGCACTGCTGCAACTTTGAGCACTAGATTATTCCCTGAGCTGATGTGATATTCTTCACCACGCCCACATAAACTAAATTTACAGCAGCCACTAATGCCAGGCACCCTGCTAAGTGCTTTATACAGATTAATTTAATTAATCCTCACAACACCCTTCAGAGAGGAACAACTGTTATTTCTGTGGTATAGATGAGGAAATTGAAGCACAGAGAGGAGATACAAGTGCCAAGGTCATACAGCCAGTCAGTGGTGGACTCAGGATTCCAACCAGCAGTCTGTTAGTCTGGCTCCAGAGTCCATGCTCTTTGCTACTAAAAGCATTATTTCCATTGTTAGTAGGAACAAAAAAATTAAGATTAATAACCAAAATGAAATTAAAAAGTAAACTTAACTACTACCTAATGTAACAGCTCAAGACGGGCAGGGATTATGGCATTTCATGTTAATTCAGCAGAGCTTTGCCAGTTGGGTTTTAATCTAATTAAAAATTTTTCAATTTTACTAAATTCATTTCATACTTAGAGTAAAATGTAGTAAATCTGTATCTATAAAGTGCTTCAGTACGTCTAAAATAAACCTGAGACATTTATAGACCCAGAGTGAATGGGAAGGCTTGCTGCTCTTAATCTGGGAAATGTTCTGTATTCAGTTACAAGCAGGAAAGGCTGGAACTTGTCTCACCTACAAAGAGGGGGTTGCTTATTTCTATAGCTTTTTAAATGACTCACTTTATTTGGCATCCAAACTCTCTGAGAGGGAAGCTTTTGCCTGGGCATTTGATTTGCAGCACAAATACTATAAAGCACCTTTAGTAAGATGAACAGCTTGTTACCTTCTGACATGAAATATGGAATCCGGAATCTTCCTTCCAAAACCCTCTGCCTCAAAATCGGAAGAGTTGGTCCATCAAAAGGCAGAGCTCCACAGACAAGGACGTAAAGAACGACTCCCATACTCTAGGGAAGAAAATGATGCAGTCATGTAGTCACTTTTCTACCGAGAACTTCAAACACTCTTCTCCTAAACATCCCCAGGGCTCTTAAAATCATAAGGACTGAAAAATTCTTGTCTGAATTTATTATTTTCTCAGAATTTGAAAAAATATCTGAAACCCTGACTATTGTAAGAAGTCTTATAAAAGATACCAAAACATCTGAATTTGATCACTTTGATGACTAAACTTTAAATTATTGCTGTTATCAGGATGATAATACTTGTCCCTAGAAATTCTTTCCTAGGGATCCATTTCAGGATTCTCTAATACTAGTCTGGCAGATGGGGAAAATAGGAAATACTGCTTATGTGCTAAGTACCAGGAGGTTCTAAGATGGGCCAAAGTACCAAGTCTTATCATTATAGGCGCATTTAACAACACAGCAAAGCAAAGCAATACCCAAATATCCAGCTGTGGTCCTTCATACTGCTGCCCTTCAAAGACTTCTGGGGCTGCATATGGGGGGCTGCCACACCACGTTGCCAGTAGTTCACCACTTTTAAAGAAATTTCCAAAACCGAAATCTATTGGGATGGAAATAAATGTTACTTTCATCTATGCTCTCAAACTATACTACATTTCTCTGTAATAAATCTTACAATGTGCTATATTAACAAAATTACTACTATTCACTCTGTGAGGGCTGGGATGATATCTATTTTGTGATGGTTCTCTAGCACTTAGTCATTTATGACTAGCAAATAGTAAGTACTCAATAAATACTGCTGAATGGATGCATAAGTGAATCAAGTTTCCTTCTCAAAGAGAGTAAGAGATTGGAAAGAGACTTTAAATCATGTATTTTTAAGGCTGAAAGAAAATCCATTGGTGTGGAGAACTAACTTGAATTCCATAATCTTAGAATTTCAATTACCCAATAATTGATTGATGAAGAGCTCTTCATCTTATATGGTCTATACAGAAAGCTACAAATGAGTAAAACTAACTCTAAGATATTCACGTAAACACAACCAAGTGACTGGCTGCTCTTATAGCCTCCCCCAAGGTAGCAAGGCAACCGAATACAGTGTTTCCTAAGTAAAAACTCTGGGTTGGTCCATACATCCTCTTTTAGGCAGATGCTCATCTGAACAGCTTATTAACATATGATGGCTATATGGCCCAGCCACAGGCCACCTATCACCGTGACTTATTTACTCATTTATGGAATACAGTGGCATTATCCTTGAAAACAGTTAATGGCCTTCCCCTTATAACCTTAGTCATATTCAATCTACAGCTCTGATGCATAGAACATACTCCGGAAATGCTATACTCAGATGCCTTTAATATGCATGAAAAAAATTCAGTGAGCTTTGGTATAAATGCAAGCTTATACCCTTTTGTTATGCCTTTACACAGTCTCATGTTCTTACTGAAGAAACAAATTCCTATGATTTTGTAAGTTGTACCCATGCTGCCTTGTGTTGTTGTTACATACTCCTGACTGAAGAACATGCCTCAGTGACAGGAAGTGGCTCTACACCCAGCTGGCACACAGCACTGCATGCAGAGTGAGCTTTAAGAGATGCCCCAAAGGGGGCTGGAGGAGTCTCCATTGCCAGACTGACTGGGTTTGTGACTTTGGAGTCTTAGTTTCCCCATCTGTAAAGTTGAAATAATAAATATACCTAGTCAGCACATTGTTGTGAGGGTCCAACGTATTAACATAAACACACATACTCTATTCACACCTTGAGATTATGCATACGTCTGCACCTTAGGCGAAGCATTCTCTTAAATCAATAAGTAACAACTGGTGGCAGGCAGCAATAATGGTAGTAATAGTGACAATCCCTATCACCACAGCTTCATGGACGAGTACAGGCTATGAAGTTAGGAGAACTAGAGCTGATTCCCAGTTTTGCCACTTTTTAGCTTTAAGCCCTCTAGGGAAGTTATTTAACTTCCCTGAACCTTAGTTTCCATATCTATAAATGTAGGGATAATCCACCTACCCAGATAGGATGCCATGAGGAATGAGTGTCACCATATAAAATGCTTAGAGCATGGCAGATGTGAAATACCAGCTCTCTTTTCTTTCTGTGAAACCATTATTACCTACTATTGCCTTTCAAAGAAAAAGGTCCCAAGAAAATAGATAGGAGGGGTAGAAAAAGTGTAGAGGGAGCCTAAGGGTTCAGAAGAGGAAAGAGGGTGCATCTGGGGAAAGGGTCTCAGACAGAGCCTAACCCTGGTGAACAAGACTGTGGTTGGCATCCGGGAGCATGAGGCAAAGCGGGTGCCAGGGAGACGTTCTCTCCAGTCCCATAGTCCACTTTCCAAAATGACCATCAGAAAGGCCTTAGCTTCTCAATTCCATCTCTGTGACTAACCACTCCTATCACATCACATCCCCATCTGATATATGTTTCCAATTTTCTACAAAATCCATACTGTCACATGAGTCAAGGATGGGATGTCCAAATCAAGTTTAAAGAGAAAAATTTTAATTTCTCTGTGTGTTTGGAGATCTTAGGTACAGTAATAGCCACACTTTAAACCACAATAAATACTCTGCAGATAGCATTGTTAAGTTTTAATGTCTCAAAGAGCTCTGATAGAGCCATTTCACTCTAAACTTTCTCATACCCTGGTGAAATGAACTCAAAGGAGTGACAGAGGCCTGTCAGGAAGGTGGCCTGGCTTCTTTGTCGCCTTAGGTTCTCATTGGTCACTTCACAGGCAAGAAAGCAAGAGCTAGGAAAGTTCACCAGGTCTGCAGTAGGCTAGTTTCAGCCTCAGCTTTACAGACTTAGCACAAAGAAAGCTTCCTGTTCACACTTACAAGAAGGGTGTACTAAGCACCTGTTTACTTCTATTTTCTGCAGGTAACTGAGTAAAATAAGAACTTAGGTCTAGAAACATTAAAAGAAACACCAAAAGACAATCAGGCTCACTAAGCTATTACAACGTCACATATGCAGAGGTCTTCTATAACCTCGTCAAAGCACTTCAAACATTGTATTTGTAATCATCTGATGAATAAAAACATAAGGAAGACTTTGGAGTCAGGCAGATCTGGAATCAAATCCTAGGTCTTCTACTTAGCTATGTAATCTTGATCAAATTATTTAACTTCTTGGACCCTTGGTTTCCTCATTTGCAAAATGGGGACAGTATACTTCATAAAGTTGTTTTGAGTATTGATATAAGTACAATATAGATAATGCTACTGAAACATAGTAGGTACTCAATAAATGGAAGCTACTGTTGCTACTATTATTTTACTTATCTGTCTTCCTCATCAGACTACACTCCTTGAGAGTAGAGAATGGGGGAATGACAGTCTGTACTTCTAGCCCTTAATATGCTGTCTGCAGACAATAACTGATTGATAAAGATTTTGCTAAATGAATATGTCATTCTTATCTCTTATAAAAGTGCTTCATTATGTGCCAGGAGCTGATCTAAGCTCTCCAAAGATAATTTCTTCTTAATAACCCTATGAGGTATCCTTATTTTTGGAAAAAGTGAGCATAGAAAGTTAAGTACCTTGCCAGAGGTTATACAGCTAGTTAGTTGCAAAACTAGAATAGAAACCAAGTTTGATGATAAAGCCCTCACTGTTAACCACCACCTTTATGTCCTTCCTGGCACAGGGGTAAATAGCTATTTTTGAACAAGTTAATAATTGCCAGGCTTAAGAAGTGGCAATGAGAGGTACTTAAAAATAAAAGGCTTTTTATTTCTTTAGAGGAATCTGAGTAATTGGCTTCATTCACGGTCTATAGCTTTCTGCCTAAATGCATATAGTGAAATGAGAGGTGAGCAAGAAGGATGAAATAAGAAGCTGCTGGATTTGTTTCCTCTTGTCATTTATTCAAATAAAATGGACTATATTCGTGTTTCATCATACTAACCAAATTCACTCATCTCTTCATTTAACATCTGTATGCAACGCAGGTGTCAATAATGTGCAAACCACTGAGCAAACACAGAACAGAATCTCACAACAACACAGAATAATGAAAGACCCCCCCATTATCACCTGACTTTTAGAAAGCATTATGAAAACAATCACGTGGGCACTCCCCTGTCTGCTAGACTCAGATCCACCCTGGCCTTGCTGGAAAGCAAACATCTTTCTAGTTTAATATTTTTGCTAATTCTCTGATCTGCAAGTTAATACCTAGAACTCTGGCTGCTATGTTCCTCAGACATTTTGCTTGCTGTTTTTCTGTCATAAAACTTATGCCATACAATGTTGGATTCACTTTTTTTTTTTTTAACTTGCAATTTTGAAATACTTTAAGATTTACAGAAGAGTTGCAACAATAAAGTGATATATATATACCCTTCACCCAGCTTCCCTTAATGTTACCATTTTACATAATTATAGTACAATTATCAAAACCAAGATTCAATTATCAAAACATCGATTCAATACTTCTAACTAAACTACAGACTTTATTAAGATTTCACTAGTTTTTTCACTACCATCCCTTTTCAGTTCAGGATTCTACCTTGCATTTAATGTCATGCCTCCTTAGTCTTCTCCAATTTTTGTGACAGTTCTTCACAGTCTTTCCTGACCTTGAAGAATACTAAATATTTTGTTTGACTGTCCTTCAACTTGGGTCTGTTTTGTGTCACCTCATGATTAGATTAAGGGTATGACTTTTTGGGAAGAGCATCACAGAGCTCGTGCTCATCTCAGTCCATCATGTCAGGCGGTGTATGGTGTTATGTGTAATTACTGGTGAGGTTTACCATAAACACTTGATTAAGATGGGGTCTGTTGGGTTTCATCACAGTAAAGTCACTATCTTTCCTTTTGTAATTGATAAATATTTTAGAGAAGATCCATTGGGACTATATATATTTTGTTTTCTCTTGAATATTCACCCACTAGCTTTAGCGTTTGCTGGTAGATCTTGATTGCAGCAACCACTGTGGTACTCTAATGGTGAGTTTTCATCTTCCCCATTCCTTCTACATTTATTTTACCTAAATTTTATTTTTCAATAACAAATAATAATATATATTAATATATTAAATATTTACAGGCACAATGTGATAAATATATGTTTAACATTGTAGAATGACTAAATCTTGCTAATTAACAAATCCATCGCATCATTAGTTACAATTCATCTCTAAGGAAGAGCTGTACCTTCTCTACCCTTTATTTATTTATTTATTATAGTGCTATATTACATATTATCATGAATATTTATTTTATTCTTAAGGTTATAATTCAATACTACTGTTACTTATTTTGATGCTCAGTTTCAGCTTTGGCCATTAGGAGATAATTCATACTGGCTCCTGTGTCTTTTCAACATGCCCTATTTTATTTATTTTAATTATTTTTTATTTTATTTTATTTTATTTTATTTTATTTTATTTTATTTTATTTTATTTTATTTTATTTTATTTTATTTTATGCATTTCCTCATCTTTTGGCCCCAGATGTTCCAGGCTTATCTTGTATTTTCCCTGCCCCAGTCTTGACTCAACTGCTTCTCCTAGGAGCTCTGGTTCCTTTTACTGAAGAATGGCATTTAGAAACCAAGCCTAG